CCACATGTTGTGGTTGTTTTTTTTTCTCTCTACTCTCTACTCTCTCTTTTGCAAGAAGAAAGCTGTTGGGGGAGAAAAATAAAGGAGTGAGTGAGTGAGTGAGTGAGAGTGAGTCAGTGAGTCAGTGAGTGAATGAGTGTGAGTGAGTGAGTGAGTGAGTGAGAGTGAGTCAGTGAGTGAGTGAGTGAATGAGTGAGTGAGTGAGTGAGTGAGTGAGTGAGTGAGTGAGTGAGTGAGTGAGTGAGTGAGTGAGTGAGTGAGTGAGTGAGTGAGTGAGTGAGTGAGTGACGCACAGCCAGCCCGAGTGGGAGCTGAGCCTCTGCCTTGGGTTTTCCTGAAAGGTAAAAGTTTTTTGGGTTTGGAAATTGTTTCTCCTTCACTTTCTTTCCGCCCCACCACTCCCCCTCTGCAGTTTGTTATTGCCAGACACCTGGGTGCAGTGAGGTGCTGAATGCTGAATGTCACTTCTCTCCCTCACTGTCACTCACTTCACTGCGCTGTTGCTGTCACATTTTGCTGATGCGGAGTCCTGTAGCTCAGTGGTTAGAGCACTCGCTTTGCAAGCGAGAGACCTGAGTTCAATTCCAGGCAGGTCAGGGCGAAACCTTGGGCAAGTTTCCTTACTCCACACAGAGCCTAATAATAATCCCTCCAAAAAACCCAAAACAATAATAAATTGGTCATTTTCAATCTACGACTGTTTGTGGGACATTGCTGTGTGCAATTGGCTGCCGCGTTCGACCACAAATATACAGTCAATTCACTTTACAGTGTGTTCTGTGAAGCGCTTTGGGAGGTCTAGAAAACGTGAAAAGCGCTATATCAAATGCAAGGATTATTATATTATTATTTTCGCTAGTTGTGACGTGTTCGTAATATTGCGCACGTACACAGTGAGGGTTTCAGCCCAGGGTAGGGTGGGGGGGATGTAAAAAAAATCTTGCCTGCACAGCTCGGGAGAATAGCATTTGCTTTTTTTCTGGATCCTGGACTGAATGAACCTTTTATTTTTTTTCTTCTTTTAAATACTAAATAATAATAAAAAAAGAAGAATTCTCCCTTGTTTTCAGAGCCTGAAAGGTTTTGCGGTCTGATGTGGATTTAAACCATCTGTGTCCCAGTTGCTGATGGCGATCACACATCAAGGGGTGGTTTCGAACCACCCCAACCCCCCCCCCCCGTGTAATCCTTGCTGATCGTCACTGCAGAGCATCAGAGCTGCTTTCGCAATGCCAAACTTGTCAAGACCCAAGCAAGCGGCTCCAGGAGGATATAATAATTCTTCCATTTCTTACAGCGCCTTTCAGGTCAGGAGGATGTCCCGAGGTGCTGGACAGTCAGGGGGATCTGCACCTGAGCTGGTGGTTGGGATTGGGGAGGGCGGGGGAGGGTAGGGGTAAGAGTGTGACTGAAGGCACGGTCGAAAAGGGGGTCTTGAGGCCGGTCTTGAATAGAGGCAAGGGAGGGGCCGAGGCAGAGGGACTGCGGGATGGATTTCCAGAGGGTGGGGGCAGAGTGGTTGAAGGCCCACCCCAGTGGGACTTGCAAGGTGGGGGACGTAAAGCAGGCCGGAGCCCACTGAGCAGAGGGAGCGGACAAGGTGGTAGGGGGTTAGGAGGTCACAGAGGTGGCGGGGGGAGCAAGGCCATGGAGGGCTTTGAAGGTGAGGACCAGGATCTTGAAGTGTGTCCTTTGTGTGATGGGAAGCCAGTGGAGTTGGGTGAGGATGGGGGTGATAGGGTCACAGAGCCTGGTGCGGGAGAGGACATGGGCTGCAGATTTCTGGATGATCTGCAGCCTGTGGAGGGAAGAGTTGGGGAGGCCAACAAGCAGGGAGTTTGCGTAGTCGAGCCTGGATGTGATGAATGGGGGTCTTGGCAGCCTGTGATGAGAGACAGTGGCAGAGTCGGGCAATGTTGCAGAGGTGGAGAAAAGCGGAGCGGATCATGGTATGGATATTGGGGATAAAGGACAATTGAGGGTCGAACAAGACGTCGAGGTTCTGTATTGGCTGTGAGGTGTAGAGTGCATCTATGAAAGGTGATGCTGTCAACGTCCGAGGTATGGGACACTGATGGGAGCCAAGCAGGGGAGCCTCGGTCTTATTGATATTCAACTGGGGAAAGTTAGCTCTCATCCAGGACTTAATGTCCAACAGACAATCTGTGAGGACAGCAGAGGTCCTGGAGTTGAGGGTGGAGGCGGAGTGGCAGAGTTGTGTGTCATCCGCAAACATGTGCAAGTTGATCCCATGTCTACGGTTGGTGTCACAAGGGGGTATAGATGTTGAAAAAGCGAGGACCAAGGACAGAGCCCTGAGGGACACCACACGGGACGTGCCATATATAGCGCCTTATCACGTAATTGAGACATCTCAAAGCGCTTTATAGAGTATACTGTAAATAGAATTTACTCTATATTTTGAGGTAAAACGCAGCAGCCAACTGCTCACAGCAGTGTCCCACAAACAGTCGTGGATTTAGTGAATTATTAAAGAATTATTAACCCAAAAGCGATTCAACAATTGACAAAAAACCTGGTTCCTACTTACTGCTGGGTAAACAGAGGTGTGTGGAGTAAGGAAACTAGCCTAAGGTTTTGCCCTTCCCAGGAATCAAACTCAGGTCCTCTCGCTTTAGAAGCTCTAACCAATTCTCTACAGGACTCCCAAATATACCCTGGCAAACCCTGGCCTACCAGGTTCCAGGTATCCGGTATTCAGACCTAACTGAACTGGGTCAGTCATCCCAAAAAATATTTGTGAAAAATTTCCAAGGACCATGCACACATCGACTCCACTCTCCTAATGTGTTGACAGTTCTCACTTGCCTTCAGTGCCCAGGGATATGGACTTTGACTCAGATTATATCCCAAGAGTCAAAGTTGACTTATTTGCTACTGCTACTCATGGGATGCTTTAAGGCTTATCTGATTGATACATTTTCTATCAATCTCACACTCAGCAGAACCATTCAGCAAGCAACACAGTGTCTCACTTGTGACGAATTAGCCGCTAATTATTTGTTAGACATCCAACAAGCATAACCTTCTGACTTGGAAGCAAGAGTGTGACGTGAGCAAGGCTGACACATGTGGAAGGAATGTCACTGTGGGTTGAACCAGGGCAATCTTGCTGCTGTGAGCAGGTCAGAAAACAGATGTGTTTTGCAATACCGTGTTGCTTGCTGAATGGTGTGAGAAAATGTCTGACTCTTAAACCACTTAGAGGCTCTGAAGCTTCATATTTCACTCACACACACTTATTATATCTGACACTCATGGTCATTGTGGCAGTGGAATAGAGATGCTCATTCTTGTCTGCTGAGTTATTCGAATGACTTCATGTGAACTGAGATTTGAAATTGTTCATGTCTGCCTTCCATGATTCATGTGAGCCATGCAGTGAAACAAGATAACAGCCAGTCACAGAAAAGTTTGTTCACAGAGGAGCTTTTCGTACGATTGTGCAACATGAGGTGCTCTGTTGAAAGATAATTGGATGAAGGACTTGGAATAACAAGTCCCAACATGGAATAACAAATTCCTCAAGCATAAATTACTTGTTAGAGGTGCCGTCCTTCAGATTAGACGTTAAATCGAAGTCTTGTTTGCCTGTTCAGGTGGTAAAGATCCCATGTCACTATTCGAAAAGAGAAATTAGTTTCTCCCAGTGTTCTGACCCAACAATACCCCAAATAAAATCAGTCACTCACTCCATGGCTGTTTGTGGGACATTGCTGTGTGTAACTGGCTGCTGCTTTTCGCCCACAAAATAAACAATCAATCCACTGGACAGTATATCCTGTGAAGCACTTTGAGATGTCTCAGTGTCATGATAAGATGCTCCTATATATCAAATGCAAGAATTATTATTATTGTTACAGAATGGGTCAAGAGTGCTTACAGGAAATGCTCAACAGGTCAAGTAGGAACATAGGAATATAGGAACAGGAGTAGGCCATTCAGCCCCTCGAGCCTGTCCGCCATTCTATAAGATCATAGCTAATCTGTACATCAACTTCAATTACCTGTCCTTGCCCCATATCCTTTGGTACCCTGACCTAACAAATATCTCTCCACCTCAGTCTTGTAAATGTGAATGGATCCAGCATTCACAGCCTTTTGGGGGAAGAGAGTTCCTGATTTCCACTATCCTTTGGGTGAAAAACTGCCTCCTGATTTCACTCCTACATGGCTGAGCTCTAATTTTAAGATTATACCCCTTGTTCTGGATTCCCCACCAGAGGAAATAGTTTCTCTGTGTCTACCCTAACAAATCCCTTTATTATTTTAAAAATCTCAATTAGATGTAAGCTCATATAGCAAGCTGCAGCAGAGAAAGGGGAATCTTTTTAACTTCCTCACAGAGAAATCCATTTCTTTGAGTTAAACAACAGTTGAAGCACCCAGCATATTAACATTTAAAATACATTAACATTCAAAAGCAGTTTTATATATAAATATTGTGCCTGTTTTTTGTTATATTGACTAACATTTATATATTGTTTGTATATAATTAGTGACTATTGGCTGTTGATTGAGTCTCTTGCCTCATTCCTGGATACTGTTTTTGATGCTTTTATATTGGAAAAATAAACAGTCCTAAAAAAAAGTTAATTGTTGAGTGATGCAAACAGCCATTTTGTTTATTGAAATAGATCAAATTGAGGTTGTTTCTTGCAGATTGTTCCTTTTTGGTAAGAAATTAACTTCCACTATTTGGTCAGAAATTAAAGAGAATCCGTATGTATCTGTTGTATTATACAGGACTATGTGATATGGCCTCTGGAAAGTAAAATAGTTATAGCGTGGGATTATTGTACAATAAGTGTGGAAGAGGAATGCAAAAAAAATTGTAGATATATTTCAACAATAGGCAGAAATTCTTTGCTTGATGTACAAGAGTCAGCAGCTTGAGAAAGACCTGCAGTTTTGTCTCCAGCTTTGCTGGCTGGTGTTCAATTCTAACCACAAAATGGGCAGTCTCACAGCTCAAATTTCATTTCCCATAAACTGCTGTGATAGTTACTGCAACTAGTATTACAAGGCAATTCAAGTTGTCAACGGCAGATCCGTGCAGAACTTCTTCAGAGTGCTGTGTAAGTACTGAAATAAGTAATAGTACTTTGTATCTTTGATCGATAGATTTTTAAAAACTAAAGGGATTAAGGGATATGGGGATAGGGCGGATAAATGGAATTAGGTTAGAAGATCAGACATGATTTTACTAAATGGCAGGGCAGGCTCGAGGGGCCGAATGACCTACTCCTGCTCCTATTTCTTATGTTCTTGTGTATCTTTTAAAGTTTAAACTTGCATAATTATATACTCAGTAATAAGTATCAACAACAAATACCTAAGCAGAAAGGAATCCAGCCATAAAGCGGGTTCAAGTAGGTGCGGCTACACAAATCCTTGACTCTGTCTGGGAGAAAAACTCTGCACAACGTTCAAATAGTTGCTGACTTCTCGGAGGAGCAGGAGGTGGTGTGGTGATGTGGGGTCCAGTGCACACCACAAGGGGAAAGTTTCTGGGGTCTATTATTATGTAGCATCTTAGAGCAGCCAGAGTTCAGCAAATCATTGAATTCGTTTGAAATCTCTGTGTGTTTTGTTTCGAAAAAACACTTTCAAAATTAAGAGTTTGCCAAATTCTGGATGCTCTCAAGTGCTATATTAAGCAGAGTACATTTAAACCTGGATGGAATTCCTGCCCTTGTGTTACTGGTGGTAGATCCATATCTTCAGTTCTCCACTTAGTGAGTTGTTGGTGTGGAGATCAGTACTGAGAGGAAACCCTTTTCCACAGGAAGGTCAGTATATGGTGGGGGGGTGGCGGGGAATCAAGAGAAATCAAACAGGTCATCCATTAGACTACTGAGTTGTACCTAACAACTATTAACCCTGGAAGGGCTGGTAATGTGGGACCCCCAAAGGGAGATAGAAAATACTGTAACTCTCAAAAAAAGGGGGGAAAGAGTGAAATGCTGGATGAATCTCATATCTATCTCTTGAAAGGTTAACATTACTGTTATTGTTTTTAATAATGCTAATAAAATACGTAGCCTGCTGTTAACTCGCCCCTGGCTTCACTTGTCACTACCACTTTAAGTTATCATGCTGTCCTTTTTCCTGTCACATTTCTTTATGTATTTATATAGATGCCTAACTCGCCACTTTGGATAATTCGTCACATAAACCCTTTCCCTAAGAGTGATGGGTTATCAGTTTACTGTATGCAGATGTGGAAATAGAAAGCAATGTGTTAATTGATGAAAATTTAGAGCAAGAGGAATTAAGTCAGGATCTGAAAACAAAATAGGGAAATTCTGATGAAGCGGCACACCCAGAATTTAAACTATTTCTGATGGGTTGATTGGACTTAATACTCTATTCATCCTGCAGTATAGTATATCCTTTCTTGAGTTTGCTAGTTTGGGATTTTCCTTTCATCTTACTAGTTTGCTTATGAATTTGCGCAATGATCGTTTTGTCTCTTAACCAGTTATGACATGATTTTGCAGCTCAGCTCTGTTGCGTTTGCATTTAGAAGTTTGTACTTCATGTTGGGTAAGACGTGTGTTGTAACTTACACAGAGGGCTGGGCTGCTACTTCTTTGGCTAAAAGCTAAGCTAAATGTAAAATGTTGTATTTTTGTTGATAAAAAAACAATCCTGAACTACTGATCAACTTACAAACTGTCACATTACAATAGCTTAGAGATAATCAGTCTAGAATTCTTTCTTCGGGTTCAGATTTGCAGATGACACCAAATTGGAGAGAACTGTGGAATCAAAGGCGGTAGCAAAGGTCTTAAAAGTGAGCTTGTGCGTGGGTTGATAACTGGCAAATGAATTTCAGTAAGATAGATCAGTGTAAGAAATCAACAATAAATTGCATTTATATAGTGCCTTTCACATCGGGAGGATGTTCCCTGTCTTCCCACGGCAACATAAGGTGATCGCCCAGGCCCTAGGCAGTGCAGAGAAGAGCAAGAAGCATGTCAGGGTAATGAGCTATGAACAACGACTAGACAAGCTAGAGTTTTCAGTCTTGAAAGACGACATTTTAGAACAAAGGTGATAGAGATATTTAATATTTTATGGGTCTGAGAAAGTGATCCCAGAACAATACTTCAGATGTGCCAAGACAGTGGAACAACAGGTCACAGGTTTAGGGATGAAAATGACAATCTCAGGATAGACATCGGGAAATATTTCTTCAAGAGGGTAATTAATGACTGGAACAGGTTAACGGGAAGGGTGGTTGAGGCCAGGGTTCTGGAATCATTTAAAGAGCAGTTTTAAAAAAGTAGCTGGATGCTTTAATGGAAGGAGGATAGGGTGGGTACTCTGGAAGGATGAGATTAAATGGGCAAAAGGGTCTTCTTTATCCTAATCCCTTCTGTGATCTTGTGACCTCTAAGGACAGAAATTGGCTTCAAAATTCATGACTACATTCTGCTCACCAATAAACAGGGTAAAAAAAGGGGGGGAGAAAATGTAAGGAAAAACCAAGAGTATAACTTAAAATAAAATGTCAACCGAGTTGAACTTGGAGACGTGTCCAACAACAATTTACATTTATATAGCGCCTTTCACTTTGGGAGGATGTTTCAAATTACTTTATAGAGTTGACTTGGAGCTGGAGGTGCGGGGGAGTTGAGCAGAGTGGGGAAAGGAAAGATGACTGAAAGTGCAGTCGAAAAGTTGGGTTTTAAGGCGGGATTTAAAGGCAGGGGGGGAAGGGGCAAGGAGGAGGAATGGCAGAAAGCTCATCCAACGATGGTGAGGTGGATTGAACAGGAGATCTGAAGCAGGCCAGCATTTGCTGAGTAGAGGGAGTAACCCAGGCAGTCGGGTTGCAGGAGGCTGAAGAGTTAGGGTGGGGTGAGTATGAGGATCTGGAGATCTTGGAAAGCCTGATTGAGGGTTGAGTGATGGCTTTTTGCAGAGGGGATTGGGGTACCTCCCAACAGGAAGGGCACTATATAAATGCAATTTGTTGTTGTTGATGGCGGTGGTTTTGAAAGGGTGAAGTGGGAATGTATCAGGTTGATTTTTGAATCAACAACAGCTTGCCTTTATATAGCGCCCTTCACACGGGGTAGCGTCCCGGAGTGCTACCCCATATCGACTAGCAGGGACCCAAGGAGGGGAATCTGGGTGGCCAGGAGCGACGTGGGAGGATGGAGTCTCGGGAGAAAGTGGTGGGTTTCGTACGGGAGATGAGGGAGGAGAGGGATGGGGTGGGGGTGACGGTATCAAGGTTGTGAGTAGAGGCCGGGGGGAAGGGACAGCAGAGATAGAGGCAGCTGAATAAAAGTAAAAGATTATATCTGATCCTCAAGACTGTCAACCATAGGATATATTATCAATACAATACAATATGGTACAATTTTCATTCATATAGCACTTTTCACATCTAGAGGATGTGGCTGGGCTTCTGAGGTGGGAAAGTTGGTGGGGTGGGCAGGGGAATGGTGACCGCACTAGAGTCAGCCTGGACTGTGAGTCCCTGGTCCCGGTTTGGGGGAATTGAAGCCGCAACCTTGTGTCTCAATGTGAAGCTGCACAAGTCGAATGAAAAGCTTTGAACAGTAATGCATGGTACAGTATGACCACTCAGGTAAAAGACGCTGTGCCTTTCTCATGCAAAAGGTCAAAACAACAGCTGTCTGCGTAGTTACACCTTATCCTCAAAACCTCTTGCTCATGTCTGACAAAGTGATGCTGGTGCAGGAATCTGATAGCGTCCGACGAATGAGAACTTTCTGATCTGCGGGTTCAGGATGTCAGATCAGTGTTATTAATGCACTTACAATTTTAAGTACTTCCTGTACAGAAATAGCTATTTCTTAAACAATGTATTTACAGTTTTGATGTAGTAAATCAATTCTGAACGGCTTCCAAGGCTAGTTTAACCTTCCTAAGATGGGGTGCCCAAGCTGCAACATTGCTGATAAGTTGAGTTTGGGTCTTTTCTTTTCAGCTGCCCCAGCAAGAGAGGCAGATAGTTAAACTGCCCTGGGATTGGTGTGACTTGCTATTCTTTGTACTCTATTGTCAGCAGTGAGCCACACTTTGACTACCGTTCCTTTTGCTGTGGAATAAGGCAGAGCTCCATGGATGCAATACTCAAACATTGCACAGAGCGCTGCATGCTGACCTCTGACATTGTTTTAAAAGAAGCTAACATCAGCTTTTTGTTAGTCACTGCAATGTACATGAATAGTGCTGTGTACAGCAAGACACCAGAGCTTGTTCTTTATAAAACCTATTCTTTTGTTGGGCCTTTGTATTGTGTGCAGTGTGAGACCAGTTTTTATGCTGACATACTTTAGCCTGTCTTATTTTTTAAAAATTATTGATGAGAGAGGTTAGGTCCTGCTCACCTCTTTTAACCAAATTAGACCGAATTGCATTCCACTAGGGAACAAGGGTTGTGCGCGCACACTACCCCCAATCCCCCCAAACTCTCAAAGCGCTCCGAGACGTCATCCAGCGTGAAGGGCGCTATATAAATGCAAGTTCTTGTTGTCGCCCCAAATTGTCAAACGACAATGCAGACATGTTACCTGTCTTCATGACCACCTGAACAAATTAGGTGACAGGATGGCCTTCCTGGTTGGGCAATAAGATTGTCAATAAGTCAATAATCCTTCCCATAAGAGCCCCTGAATTATGGGTGAGATTTAGTTGAGCCAAAGTATCACAAGTGAATCTCAATAGCAGAACTTTCCTGGTAGGTGCTAACCCAAACAGTAATGTTAAGAACAGATACTACACTTCTCTTTGACCGTGCCTTCAGCTCCCCTCTCGACTTTCTCTTTGACCGTGCCTTCAGCTCCCCTCTCGATTCTCTACCCCCTCCTCGCTCCCTCCCTTCCCTCCCCTCACCCTGACCATTTCCCCCTGCTCGGGTCCTGACCCAACTGTACAGCGCCTTGGGACGTCCTCCCGATGTGAAAGGCGCTCATTAAATGGAATCTTGTTGTTGTTGTTGTACACTTGATCTTAGCCAAGAGGCCAAGAAGTGATCTTTAGCCTACCTTATACTACTTTCAGCTTGGAATAGTACCAATACCAACAGTGCAGTATAAATGCAGCACTTAAGGGTGTGGTTTAAAACCTCTGTTAAGGTAACAGAAGACAAGATTGATTTATTAAGACCAGCTAGTGCTGAACACATAGATCTATGTTGCTTTAGTGGTTATAAGATAATAAATAAGTTGATAGTTAATAAGTAAGTTGTGTAAACAATAGAGACCAGCATCATTATGTGTTGGTGAATCAGGTGATAAATCCTGAACCCACAGGATTGTTATGTCAAGACTATCTGACTGGGTGTCAATGGAGAAAACCTTTCTGTACAATTTTAGGTTAGATTGTCTCATCAATGAATCATTGAACAAACATGAATATCAGCGATATTTGTGAGGAGCCCAGGGAAGTCCCTCGAGTTGGTTGGTCACTGTGCCACGGTCCATCATTAATGCCATTTATACTCAGCACATTTGGAGTTGTGCAGTAGTATATTTTTCATTGAATTGACAGTAAGTATGCGTTATAACAATGCATTATACTACTTTACAGACAGTTTAATATCAGTAGTAAGACTGTATAAGTTTAAGTGCTCACAGTAGCTGGCAAAGTCTTGCCATTATACTGACATACGAAAGGATTGAGCAACAACAACAACAAAATTACATTTGTATAGCGCCTTTTACGTCGAGAGGACGGCCCAAGGCGCTGGACAGACAGAGTTACAGACCTGAGCTAGGGGTCGGGGTGGGAGAGGGTGGAGGACAGGGTGGGAAGCAGGGAGATCACGGTCGAGGTGGGTCTTGAAGGTGGCGAGGGAGCAGTCCCTGACCTGGCACACGACTCCCAACTAATTATGTTTTGGACCTCACTACGTTTTAACTCTCTGGCAGGGAGTGTAGTACATGATAATGAAAGAACTCAAGGTGACAGATACAGAGAGAAACATAGGAATTAGGACAAGGAGTAGGCCATTCGGCCCCTCGAGCCTGCCCGCCATTCAATAAGATCATGGCTGATCCTCTAACCTAATTCCTTTTGCCTGCCTTATCCCCATATCTCTTAATCCCACAGGGGTGTTAATTTGCTGGACTTGCAAATGGAATTGTAATTTAGTGAATCATGTAGGTACCCAGAAATGTTTTATACTGGCTCTCTGGAAGAACTTTACTTGAATGCCGAATGGCTCCACTCGAATGCCCTTTTCTTGTAGCCACCAACAGTCTACTTTCACTTCTCTCTGGCTTCACAGAAGTTAAAACTGTGCGGAGTTCCTGAGGCAAATCTGAGTACCCGCAGGATTCCACATTGACAAATCCTTTAGAAATCTCCCTAATTAGACCTCAATGTTAAACAATTATGTTGTTGACAGATTGGAGGGCATAGATCAATTCTTTGAGAATTTAGCCAACAGAAATAGGAGAGGTAACTTCCGGGGAGGGGGTGCAGAGGGGAAAGAAATAATTTTGTTTTTCAAGACTTGATAGAGACAAGGAAATTATTACTTTTAGATTCTACTTTTAAGGAGGGGAGAGTTAAGTGGGGGGGAAATTCTTTGCATGTATTTGTTCCTGTGAAATGCTGATGGCCTGTAATCTCAGATAGTTATGGGATAGTTTAAATATTGTTTTTTTTGATGATGTCTGAGCATTAGCATGTTACTGAAGCGGTTTGGCTGATGCAAGAGGCAAGGAGGGGAGGAGAGAGGCTGGTCAATAAGAACATAGAGGTCTGATAAAGTAGTGAGCCCTGGAACTTCAGTCAGCAATTAACTAAAGAATGAGGAAGAAACAATAATGTCTGGCCTCACTTGGAACTGCAGCTCTTTGTTTAATGTTATAAGCAGGCGGTGAAAATCGTGGCAGTAACAGGGAAGCCTGGTCCATGGAATTGAGCTTGTGGCTAATGGTTTTCGGCTGCCAGTTAGCAGTATTTTGACTGTGAGTTTTGTTTAGTAAAAAATTGTTCTCCCACTTAGGTGTCAGCCTGGCTTAGTTGGTAGCAATCTAGCCTCTTGAATCAGAAGGTTGAGGGTTCAAAGCCCACATCGGGACTTTGAACTCATAGTCTAAGCTGACACTCAAGTGCAATGTTGTGGGATTGCTGCATTGTTGGAGTGTTAGCCTTCGGATGAGGCGTTAAACCTAGGTTCCGTCTGCCTGTTCAGGTGTGCGTTAAAAGGTGCCATACTAAAAAAAGATCAGTATTCTGGCCAACATTCCCCAGATAATATTGGTCACTTCGTGGCTGCCCAGTGGAACACTCAACCCCTGGAGTGACAGGTGAGTGGCATTCAATTTTCACTTGTTCCAAAGTCATTTGTCAAATGTCAATATTTATGCTGCTGCTTGATTATTATACAATGTATTATCGGTTGGTAAATCGTGATTACATGCAGTAGTTTAACTTTCCATTCATTTTGTGCTCTATGATTTGCATAGATGCTTAGCATGGAATCCAAACCTGGACTTCTGCACCTCCGTGGACAGAGAGAGGGTTGAAAGAAACAGAGGCCCTTTGATGCTAGCAAAGGCTCAATGGAGGAAGCACCGTCCATAGCAAAGCAGTCCTTCATCAAGCTGTTGAAGTTGCACCGGGAGGTCCTCGTCAGCTGCATCAAAAACACAGAGTGTGTGCTGAACAACTTAGTAAAAGAGGAGTTCTTTACAAATGAAGATGCTGAGCTTTCACAACAGCATCCCACACAGACAGCTAAGGTAATAACTAATCCTAACTAAGGCTCAACAATAACTTGCCTTTATGTTGCACCCTTCACATGGGGTATTGTTTTGGACCGCTTAACAATGATGCCAAGCCAGGTAGAAAGGGGTGGTGAATGTAGAGCACAGTCACAGAGGAAAGTCTCCAGGTTGATCTGAAGATGGACAAGGCAGAGAGGAATTGAGGCAAGGAGCTCCAGAGGGTTAGAGCAAAGTGGCTATAAGCACGGTCACCAATGGTTACTCCATTAACACAATCACTCAATTAACTAGTCCTAACCATGGTACATGTCTCTGTAATAATCAGTGTTAACCACAATGCATCGGACTATAACAACTAATTGTAACCATGTTCGCAATAACTTGTCCTGTCCATGGTGTCTCCCTGGCCCAGTTGATGGCGCTCTTGTCCGTGATTCAGAACGTTATGGGTTTTCAGCCACATTTTTGGAGTTTGATCTCACAGGCTTGGCTGACACTCTTAGTTCATTACTGGTGGACTGCTGTATTGTCAGAGGTGCCATCCTTCAGGTGAGATCCTGAAGTCCCATCTGCCGTTTCATGTGGATGTTAAAGATTCCGTGCCACTACTCAAAAAGAGAAAGGAGTTTCTCCTGGTGTCCTGGCCAACAATCCGCCAGATAAAATTGGTCATTCACTTCATGGCTGTTTGTGAGAGGTTATTTTGCTGCCATGTTTGCCTAGAAATAAACTTTGAGTCACATTAAGGAGTTCCAGAGAATCAGGACAGAGTGGCTGAAAGCATGACCATCATTATACAGTAAAATACTGTGAAGCACTCTGAGACTTTCAATGATGTGATAAGTTACTAAATCAAATGCAAGGATTATTATTATTTTTAAAGTTCCACAATTAAGGCTGCTTGAGTCAAGGGTCTCTGATCTGAATCCAAAGCAGAATTACACATTGAGTTCTATCAAAGGGTCACATTCAAATACTGTATTAACCTGCCTATCTTGTGTTTTCTTATGTTTGGGCACATGGCAATAATCAATTAACTAAGAAATGCGAACAAGATCGTGCTTTATAACTTAGTCATTTAAAATCTTGTGATAATATTACATTTTTTTTAAAAAAAGTATTTTTTCCATCAAGTCTATTCATTTTAGGAAGTAGTAAAAATTACTTGTTTGAAAAAAACAACACTGAACGTGGATACAGTAATTCCTCATGAGAATAGACCACAAAGTGTAAGACAGGAAAACATTTCATAATGAAGGAAATTAATGCCAGTGGACTTTGTTGCTGCTATGCTGCCATGTGGTCAGCCAAATATATACAGTACAAAATTATACTTGTATAGCACCTTTCACATTGGAAGGACGTCCCAAGGTGCTGGACAGTCAGGGATTTGGAACCGAGCTGGGGGTTGGGATCGGGAGGGGTGGAGGGTAGGGAAGGTAGGAGGGGTGGCCGAAAGCGCAGTCGAAGAGGAGGGTCGTGAGACGTGCCTTGAAGGAGGCAAGGGAGGGAGTGAGGTGAAGGGAGTTCCAAAGGGTGAGGGCTGAGAGATTGAAGGCCCGACCACCAATGGCTGGCCAGGTGTGGGACGTGGAGCAGGTCAGAGCCTGCTGAGCGGAGGAAGCGGACATGTTGATGTGTGGTTAGCAGGTCACAGAGGTAGGAAGGGACAAAGCCGTGGATTGCTGAAACACGGCAGCCAATTGTACACAGCAGTGTCCCACAAACAGTCTTGGATTGAGTGACCAAATTTTTTAATTAATTTATTTTTTGGAAGTATTATTATGCCTGGAAAGAGATCCACCAATCAATGAACAACTGGCTTCCTACTTACTGTTAGATAAACAGAAGTGTGTGGAGTAAGGAAACATGCCTAAGGTTTCGCCCAGCCTGGGCCTGTGGGAGGGAACAAATCAATGCACACTTATCAGCTATTTAAATACTGCAACAACGTGTTACAGAAAGTTTAGTGTTTGTTAGACTCTTGACAGCTATGATGACCAGAAATTACAGCACTAGACTGCAGTAGATAGTATAGAGATAATCAGACTGTAAATTCTCTTCTTACAGGTTCGAAAAATATTGGATCTCATTGAGAATAAGGGAGAAGAAACGGCAGAGTATTTCCTACACATTCTTCATCAAGCCAGCGAAGTTTATACAGCACTTAGCCCATGGCTAAAAGAAATAGGTTATCAACCGTCAGAACACGTGCAGAGCAAATCGGTGACCATCACAGATGCTGGTAATTATATACATTAGAATACATTAGAATATACAGCACAGACACAGGCCATTTGGGTCAAAATATGCTCCGAGCTGCCATTCCTGATATATCCATCCTACACTGTACCAGTAGGTAGATCTGCTACCTATGTGCTTGGACTTGAGCAGAGAGCCCAGCAGCGTGAGGAGGGAACTGAGTGAGATGGAACTGAGTGAGAATTCTGTTAACGAATTTGGTGAGAGTGGGAATTCTTCAGCAAGAGAGAAACCAGACAACAAGAGAGAACTCTTTCATTCAGCAGAATAGTGGGAAATCTTGCTTGAGGTAGAGGCAACCTTATATGTAAGCAGGCAAATAAATCAGTTATCAGTTAATCATAGGCCAGATGTTGGTGATTAATAAATGTGTTGACCAGTCAAGACTGGGCGCTTTTGTTTGAGTCCTGTGTAAAGGGAAAGACTAGTGAGAGTCTCACTTGAGCCGAGTGCTCAGCAGCGTGAGGAGGGAACAGAGTGAGAATTCTGTTAAGAAATTTGGTGAGAGTGGGAAAGAGGTGCATAATTCTAAAATATATAAGTTATATTAAAATAATATAAAACATGTCTGGGAATATAGCAGGGCAGCTGAGACTGGTTGCATGCACAGTGTGTGCCATGTGGGAACTCCAGGATGCTTTGTGTGTCCTGGACAAACGCGTGTGTAGGAAATGCTCCCGGCTGCTTGGACTTGAGCTCAGGGTTTCTACATAGCATACGGGAGGCTGAAGAGTTCATGGATTGAACACCCCACAGCCACAGAGGGTTCAGAAGGAGAGTGAGTGGGTGACCACCCGGCATGGTAGGAAGAGGGGACGGGCAGTGCAGAAATCCCCTGAGAATGTGGCACTGTATTAAATACCGGTCAGAGTGATTACACCTCTGGGGAGGGGAGTCAACAGCAAATAGATGCACAGGGGGACGCAGGGAAGAGTGTCAATGCAATTGTCATTGGGGACATAATGGTGAAAGGAGAAGATAGGCGTTTCTGCAACCAAAGATGTGACTCTCGCATGGTATGTTGCTTCCCTGGTGCCAGGGTTGAAGACATCACGGAACGGGTGCAAAATGTTCTACAGGGGAAAGGGGAACATCCAGAGGTCATGGTCCACATTGGATTCATGACGTAGGGGGAAAAAAAGGGTCGATATCCTACAGAGAGAGTATCAGAAGTTAGGGAAAAAGCTAAAGAGTAGACTTCAAAGGTGATGATCTCTGAATTACTCCCAGTGCCTCGTGCAGTGAGTAACAAAACGCAGGATCAAACACATGAATGCATGGTCGGAGAAATAGTGCAGATGGAGGCCTTCGGAGATAGGGGAAGGAGATAGATGAGCAAACCTGCAAGCAGATTCCAGAAAGATGCAAATCCAATAGAGTACAACAACAACAACAACTTGGATTTGTCTCAGAGCGCTTCACAGTGATGGATCCCAAGGCTGAGCCAGGGGGAGGGGGAGGAAGGTGACCAAAGGTGCGGTCAAAAAGAAAGGTCTTCAGCAGAGACTTGAAAATGGGAAGGGAGGGAGCAAGGCGAAGGGAGTGAGGAAAGGGAGTTCCAGAGCCTCGGGACATAGTGGCTGAAGGCACGGCTGCCGAGGGTGTAGCGGAGAACTCGGAGGACGAGGAGGAGGCCAGACCCAGAGGAACGAAGGCAACGGGTATTGTTTTGATGAGAGAGGAGGTCAGAGAGGTAGGGGGGTGCAGAGGAGTGCAGGGACTTGAATACAAGGGTGAGGATCTTGAAATCGATCCTCTCTGGGATAGGCAGGTAGTGCAGTCTGACAAGGACTGGGGTGATCGGTGAGCGGAATTTGGTGCGGGTAAGAATGCGGGCGGCAGAGTTCTGAATGAGTTGGATTTTATGGATGGGAGACCGGCGAGGAGAGCGTTGGAGTAGTCCAGCCGAGAGGTGACAAAGGCATGGATCAGGGTTTCAGCGGCTTTTGGGGAGAGTTATTGGCGGAGACGGGTGATACGTCGGAGGTGGTAGAAGGCAGTGCTGGTGAGGGACCGGATGTGGGGGAGGAAGGATAACTGACGCCTAGGTTGCGTACGGGTTTGGAGAGTTTTAGGGGGAGGTCGGGTAGGTGGAGGAGGTGAGCCATGAGATTTTAGACATTGACGAGAGCCAAAGAGTATGGCTTCTGTCTTGTCAACGTTCAGCTGAAGGAAGTTTTCACTCATCCAGCCCCTGAGATCTGACAGGCAGGCTGACAGAACATCAGGGGACTGGGGGTCGCAAAGAGAGGTGGGAAAATAGAGTTGGGTGTCATCTGCATACATGTGGAAGTGTACCCCATGTCTACGGATGACATCCCCAAGAGGGAGCATGTAGATCAGAATGAGAAGGGGGCCAAGGATGGACCTTGGGGTACCCCATAGGTGACTGGGTAAAAGCGGGAGGAGAAGCCGTTTGTGCAGATGTACTGCTGGCGGTTTGTGAAGTAGGACTCAAACCAGACGGGTGCGGTCCCACTGAGGTGGATGACGGAAGAAAGGCAGTGGAGGAGGATGGCATGATGGACTGTGTCGAACGTGGCGGAGACGTCCAGGAGGACAAGGAGGCAGAGGGAGCCCTGGTCACAGATAGAGAGAATGTCATTTGTGACTTTCACAAGCGCAGTCTCTGTACTGTGGGCAGAGTGGAAACCGGACTGGAGGGGTTCGAAGAGGAAGTGGGAGGAGAGGTGAGCGAAGTTGGTTGGCAACAACGTGTTCTAGAACTTTTGAGAGGAAGGGCAGGTTAGAAATAGGACGGTAGTGGCCGGGGTTTGAGGGATCTAGGCAGGGTTTTTTCAGGATGGGGGTGATGACAGCAGTTGGAAAGAATGTAGAATGGGGGTGGTGGTAGGAGCAGATGATGGGGAAGGTGAAGGGGACAGAGAGGGTGTGGCGGTGGGTGACAAGGGGCAGGTGGATGAGAATGCCTGGTGGATGTTAAGTATTTTAGAAGAAAAGAAGTCCATGACCTCCTCGCACTTGGCATTTGATACGAAGATTGAGGAGGCCTGAGGGGGGGCACGGAGGAGGTAGTGGGTGGTGGGAAAAAAAGGATTTTTGGATTGTGTTTAGCCTCCAAGATGATGTTGGAATAGAAGGCCGTTTTTGAACGAGTCAAAGAACGGCGGTAGCTGTGGAGATGCTCGAGCCACAGTTGGCGGTGAACTGTCAGGCCAGTTTTCCGCCATCTTCGCTCAAGCAGACGGGTTTGGGTTATTTGGCGGTGGAGATGGTTGTTGTACCAGGGGGATCGGGTGGGTTTGGAGATGGTCCTAGATTTCAGGGGCACGAGGGAGTTGAAGGTGGAGGAGAGGCGATCATGGAGCAGCTGGACGGCTGCTTCAGGATCTCCACGGGTGGAGGGACAGAGGGATAGGATGTTTGATGATGAGAGGGCCTTTGTGAGGGTCTCAGGGGGTAGCCTTTTCCAAGGGCGATAGAGGATGGTTGAGGGCTTGGTGGAGGAGAGAGGAATGTGAGAGGAGAAGGAGATGAAAAAGTGGTCCAAGATGGCCTTGTCCACTATGCTGATGTCGGAAATGTCAAGGCCATGGGTGATGACAAGATCAAGTGCATGACCACGGTTGTGGGTGGGTGAATTTATATGGAGAGTAAGATTTAAGGAGGAGAGGAGGGCAATGAAATCGGCAGAAGTGGTGCAAGGGCAGTTTAGGTGAAGGTTGAAATCGCCCATTATGAGTAGGCCCTCGGAGCAGAGGGATAGGCAAGAGAGGAGAGTAGAGATGTCTGTGTGGAAGGAGCCGGGAGGCTTGGGGGGTGCGGTAGACAAGGAGGATTTTCACAGGGAGAGAGGGGTGGAAGAGGATGAGGTGCTCGAAGGAGGGGAAGCAGCCAGAGGAGTAGGGGGTGAGACTAAGGGAGGCTTTGGAAATGAGGGCCACCCCGCCGCCACGTTGGTGTGGTGGAAGGTATAGCCTGGAGGGGAGGCTTCCACTAGGGAGACGCGGTCATTGGGGGAGAGCCAGGTTTCGGTGAGCCTAAGAATGTCAAGGTGCTCGTCCAGGATGAGATCGTGGATTGTGAGGGCTTTATTTGAGAGCGAATGGACATTTTGGAGGGAAATGCGGGTGGGTTTGCTGGAGGGAAGGGGGGGAAGGAGAGAGTGGTACAGAGAGGATTTTGGCGTGTACAGGAGAAATGGTTGTGGAGAGTTGGGGAGGGTACGTATGAGGGAAGGGGAAGTTGGGTTTGCCTTAAGATAGCAGTTTGAGCGGAGGGAGTGAATGATTGGATACGTGGGTTTGCTGCTCTGGGACAGCCAGCCAGTGCCGGGAATCCACGATGGGCCCGGCGGAGGATGCCCAGGCTGGAGCAGAGGGAAGTTGTGATGGGGTCGAGGAGAGAGAGAAGGCAGTGAGGGCGCTGAGAGAGAAGGACAGAGGGGCAGTAGCGGATAGAGGGGGTTGGGAGGAGAGACATAGAAGGGGATGGGAGGAGAGACATAGAGGGGGATGGGAGGAGAGACATTCAGGGGCAGGCTCGGGTCGGGGCGGCAGCCAAAATGCGCACGTAGTGACCGGGAGCGAGCGATCAGCAAGACGGCATCAGCCCGCAGGCTTAGCCTCCCAGGTCATGGCCGAGTGGCAGTGGCTGCCAGGCCATTGTTACTGTTGTTGCTGGTTTTTTTTTTTAAAAAACTTTTTTATTAACTGTGACGTCAAGCCGACATCACTTTGTGAAACGCGCCTGCCCCACCCCCTCACTTACCTCAGCTCCTACCTCCACTCCCGACTGAGCGGCTCCTCACCTGGCTGTGCTTTATATACATGGCTAAGCCTCGGCTCCGCCCCGCGCTCTCCTACCTCCGCTCCCGACTACAGAGTAGTGATAATCGAGGACTTCAATTGTCCTAACATAGACTGACAAAGTAACAGTGTAAAGGGCAAGGAAGGGGAAGGATTCCTGAAATGTTTGCAGGATAACTTTCTGGATCAGTATGTTTCCAGCCCAACGAGGAAGGAAGCAGTGCTGATCTAGTTATGGGGAAAGAAGTGGGGCAAGTGGAGCAGGTTTCAGTAGGAGAACACCTAGACAACAGCGATCACAACATCATTAGGTTTATAGTACTTTGGAAAGGGACAAAGAACAATCAAAGGTGAAGATACTCAACTGGAAGAGGACTAATTTCAATAAGTTAAAAAGAGACCTAGCCAAGGTGGACTGGAAAGAAAGATTGGCAGGTAAAACAGCTAACAAGCAATGGGAAGCCTTCAAGGAGGAGATAGTTTGGGGTCAGAACAAATACATTCCCACAAAGGGGATGGGTAGGGCATCCAAACCTCCCTGAATGAATAAGGAAATTGGGATTAAAATAAAACAGAAAAAGGAGGCTTATGATAAATGTCAGGTCCAAAATATAGAAGATAATCAAATAAAATATAAAAAGTACAGAGAACTGAAAACCGAAATAAGAGGGGCAAAGTATGAAAAAAGATTAGTGGGTAACATAAAAGGGAACCCTCGGTATTTTGTAAGTATATAAAGAATAAAAGGTAGGATGGGTCCAATTAGGGACCAAAGAGGAAATCTTCTTGTGGTGGCAGAAGGCATAGCTGATGTATTGAATGAGTACTTTGCATCTGTCTTCACAAAAGAAGAGGATGCAGCCTATGCCACAGTATGGCAGGAGAGGGTAGAGAAATTGGACAAGATAAGAATAAACCGAGAGGATGTACTAAAAAGGTTGGCAGTGCTCAAGGTACATAAGTCATCCGGTCCAGACTAGGTTACTCAGGGAAGTAAGGGTGGAAAGAACAAAGGATCTGGCCACAATCTTTCAATCCTACTTGGACACCGGGTGGTGCCAGAGGTAAACTTCTAGAGACTATAATGTGGGACAAAATAAATTTTCACTTAGAAAATATGTGTTAATAAAGGACACTCAGCACAGATTTTTTTCAAGGCAATTCATGTCTAACAAACCTGATAAGAGTTTTTTTGATGAAGCAACGGAGAGGGTGGATGAAGGTGGTGCAGTTGATGTAGTTTATATGGATTTTCAAAAGGCGTTTGATAAAGTGCCACATAAGAGACTTGTAAGCAAAATAGAAGCCCACGGTATTAAATGGACAGTGGCAGCATGGATACCGAACTGCCTGGGAGACAGAAAGCAGAGTGTGGTGGTGGACAGTTGTTTTTCTGACTGGAGGGAAGTGTGCAGTTTCCCAGGGATCAGTATTGGAACCACTGCTGTTCTTGATCTATATAAATGACCTGGACTTGGGTATAGGGAGTACAATTTCCAAGTGATGGAAGCCGATTCGGTAACAATTTTTAAGAGAGAAGTAGATCATTATTTGGGGAGAATAAGTTTGCAGGGCTATGAGGAGAAACGGAAAAGTGGGAAGCCGGCACAGACATGATGGGCCGAATGGCCTCCTTCTGTGCTGCATAATTCTATGATTCTATGACTATCTTATATCTGACTCCAATTGAGACCATAACTTTGATTGCTTTTCTTGTGCCTAGTCTTTCAGTACATTCGAAAGATGAAGCTTGATCTTCAACAAGATACAACATATGTCACTTCATATGCCCAAAAGCAGGACACCTTGTTTGAAGATACATACACGGAGACACTGATGGAATTAATCAACAATGTCAATGAACCCAAAGGAATGCTGTCCTGTTTGGATGAATTATTCAGTGCGTTTGGAGTTATCAGTGAAGAGTCAGAAACGGTGATTGTAACCGGTGACGCTGGGGTTGGTAAATCTATTCTGCTTCAGAAACTGCAGAGCTTGTGGTCCAAAGGAGAGCTGTGTGCTGATGTCAAATTCTTCTTCAAATTCAGGTGCCGAATATTTAATAGCTTTAAGGAGGAAGACAAGATTTCACTCAAGGATTTGCTCTTCAAGTACAACTGTTACCCTGACCGAGACGTGGATGAAATCTTCAGATATATCTGTCAACATGCTGAGTCTGTCCTCTTCACACTGGATGGGTTTGATGAGATTAACATTGACTGTGACGTGAACGACATCCCTGACATTTCCTCGCCCTTTGTCCCCACTCACCCTGTGGCCTTGTTGATGAACCTTCTCCGAGGAAAATTATTAAAAGGTTCTAAAAAGGTATTGACAGCCAGAACTGGCACAATTCTGCCGCTGAGAATCGTGAGGAAGAAAGTCGTATTGAAAGGATTTTCGAAGGACAATTTGCTGCAGTATTTGAAGAAGTTTTTCAAAAACAAGAATTATCAAAGTTCAGTCTTGACCCAGCTGGAAGCAAACCCTCACCTGTGCACCCTGTGTTCAGTGCCACTCTTCTGCTGGATTATATTTAAATGCTATGAGCACATTCTGAACATGCCCGACACCTACCAGCTTTCAGACTATATCACACTGACCGATGTTTACCTACTGATGCTGGAGGTTTTCCTGAATCGCTCCTCAAAGGTAACATTGAACAGAAGAAACAAAAGTCCAACTGAGACGTTCAGAATGAGAAGGGACAGTCTAATGCGATTTGGAAAACTAGCAAAAGAGGGAATCGAAAACAGAAACTTTCTCTTCAACCAGGAGCAAATCACAGAAGCAGATATCTCTGAGCAGGACTTGCAATTGGGTTTCATCAAAGCTGCTGGCCATTACGATGGTCTTGGGAACCAAACCACTTATGAGTTCCTTCACTTGACCCTGCAGTCATTTTTCACTGCTTTCTGTTTAGTCATAGATGATGAAATCAGCGTAAAGGAAATGATAAATTTTTTTGCCGAACGTGATAAGTACAGGATTGAGGAAAAAGGAAGTGTCTTTGCGTTACAATGCCTGGGCTCCAACAGGAATCAGAAAAAAGATCCTTTTGAAAGCACTGAGCACTATCAGTTCACTGTTCTTTTCCTTTGTGGCCTGGTGTCAAAAAGTAACCGAGATGTCTTCAAACATTTGGCTCCTGCAGGAATAATCCAGAAGAAGAGGTTAGCACTGAAGTCTTACCTGGCCAAAGAGGTCAGATCACACTTAAAGTCTCTTCCCCGATCACAGCTGGAAGAGTATAGCAGAGTGCAGGCTCTGCCTCAATTTGTATGGTTGATGAGATACATATTTGAAACGCAGAGTGAAGAAGTTGCCAAGCTTGCAGCCAAGGGGATTTGTGCCGACTACTTAAAATTGACCTTCTGCAACGCCTGTTCTGCTGACTGCAGCGCTGTTGCAAACATTTTACAACACCGCAAAGAGCAAATTGCGCTTGAACTAGACAACAACAACATCAACGACTATGGAGTGAAAGAACTAATCCCCTGTTTCAGTAAGCTCACCGTGGTCAGGTAAATTTCATTTTACATGCTTTTGTGAAGAAGATCCATCGCTGGTTTAAATGCAACTTGTACTGTATGAATCCATGAGTGTTCCCAACTGACAAACTGCGTCCAAGTGGTCAGGGTCAGTGGTCCTCGCCTCTTTACTTAACATAAGTCCACACTAACCCCCATCCCAATTCCAATCTGGTTCAATTTGCTCTGCGGTTTGGAGAGGCCCAAACATCACAAAAAAACACATCACAAGCTGTGGTTATGGAAAGCAGCCTTAGTTAATGTCTTATTCATTCTAGCCACAACAAAGATGTAATATCGAGTTATTTTGTGGGAATAAACAACTTAATCTTAAATTTCCTATGTAAAATAATCCTGTAGAAAGTTCGTTCATTCTTCTCTGCTTCAAATATAATTCCTCTCACTCCTCTCCGTTAGCAAACGGAACTTCAGAAAATAAACCCTTTGCATTATAAAAGGAGGTTCAAATGTGGGTTTGTAATTGGAAAATCACCTTAGAAGTGCACAATGTCATGAATGCTAGTTAGCAGCAAGAGAAATTTCTGGCCAATGGACATGGATATTAAAAACCTTGTCCCTAACAAAAGTGAAAATAAATGCATTCAATGTAAGTGATATTGTTTGATTTTAAGAGTTTGAGTCTTTTCAGAAACAAAAAATATTTCTGTTATTCTTTTCACTTAATTTCATTTAGAAATTTACAAAACTTGTTTTGCATATGTTAAAGGAATAGAAGATATATTTACCTATGTTGAAAGATGTGAAAGATATTTAATGCTAAATGAAGGTTTAAGTGTTGGATTGTAGGTGTGTTGGAAAGGTATATTTTTTGAAACCATTCTAATAATAACAATCTTTGCATTTGATATAGTGCCTTATCACATCTTCGAGACTTCTCAAAGCGTTTCACAGAATATACTATAAAGTGAATTGACTGTATATTTTGTGGGCGAAACGTAGCAGCCAATTTTGCACAGCAGTGTTCCACAAACAGTCATGAATTCAGTGACCAATTTATTATTATTTTATTGGAAGGAATTATTACCTCTGGAAAAGCGATCCACCAATTCGACTAACAACTGGGTTCCTGCTTACTGCTAGGTAAACAGAAGCATGTGGAGTAAAGAAACTTGCCCAACATTTCGCTCTGCTGGGAATTGAACCCAGGTCTCTCGCTTGCGAGGCAAGTGATCTAATCACTGAGCTACAGGGCTCCACAAACAGTGGAACAGTAAACAGTGGAACAGATGGAGTCTCCTCTGTGAAGGAAACATAATTCAGGTTGAATTTCATCTGTTGGAAAGCACTGTCAAAGTGCAAACCTACCCATCTCTCCATTAAACTGGATTATTATTTCCAAGAAGTGCAACATTGTTTTGTTGTACATTCTTTCACACCAAATGTCCCATGTACACTGAGACATAATAATAAATAATAATTTAATGCAGAGCTTGAAGCACAGGTAAATTTAACAATACGTATCAAGCTAAGGATTGCATTAGCCATTTGGGCTTTGGTGTACTGCACTACACTTCCATAACTCATTGATGGACCATTCAATTACTCCAGACGTGTCCTCGGAGCCTCTTTCAACCCCATGAAGACTCCTTTATCTCCTCTCTCCCACAAATAAAGTACAAAGAATTAAGCTTGCATACTCTACTACATTTCCAGGTGCTAAAATTACACTGGTTAGTGAAGTTTCTATTATAAGTAACTTTAATGACCAGTGTTGCCTACCCCATTTTTTTCATTTGATTTCATGGGACAAGCTTAAAAACAGATACTGAGCAAAGCAATTTACAAGTCAGAAATTTAGCTCATTTAGTTGTGGTGAATGCGCGTAATTTTTTGCACTTCCTCAAAAGGTTAGCAAACTGAATGTCAGTGTCGTGATGAATTAACATGGCATTAATATCAATACTACCATAGCTTCATATATAATTTAAAAGAATCTTATATCTGCTGTAAACCTGCCGTAAGCCATTCAAATGTGCATTGTTTTTAAATGCAGGTTGAGTGTAAACCAGGTCACAGATGATGGAGCGAAAGTACTGGCTGACGAACTTACAAAGTACAAAATTATAAAATTTCTTGGGTAAGCATAAACCTAAATAATAATAATCATTACATTTGGTAGAGCGACTTTCACGTCAGGAGGATGTCCCAAACTTCATAAGATATACTGTAAAGTGCAGTGACTATATTTTGTGGACAAATGCGGCAGACAAGTTGCGCACAGCCAATGTCCCACAAGCAGTCATCAAGTGAGTGACCAATTTTATTGGAGCGTTGTTGGCCAGGATTCTGCGCGAAACTCCTTTCTCTTTTTGAATAGCGCCATGGGATCTTTAACATCCATCCGAACGAGCAGACCGGGCTTCAATTTAACATCTCATCCGAAGGATAAACTTCAAATTGTGTTTATAAATAGATTAATGCTCTACATAACCATTTGTTAATTTTATATTCTTTGAATTGTACCTACTTTGATTAATGAATTTTGGACTTGAAGAATATTGCTGCATATTGCAGGATTACTAGATTCAAGCAATGAATTCCAGTGAAAGCTGGTGAGGTTCATTCTAATTTCTGTTCTGAACATTCAACACAATTGCCTCTTGCAGTAGATGTTACCAAGCAGAAGTCTTACCCTTTGGAACCTAAGCATACACTTATCAGCCCATGCTTTGTGCGTATCCCAAGTGTCACAACAGCTAACCTCAGGCCATGTGAATCTCTTAATTCTTTTCATCAAGTATAAAGAACATTTTTAATTCCCAGATTTTGCGGAACCTTATTTGAATACATAATGCACAACCAAGTTGTGCACTGCTTGGACAGTTAAGCTCGCATAAGTCTTAGCTTTATAAATTGTATAATCACCTAAGCCACATATGCACCCGAGTTCCATTCAGTTTCCTATCAAAACCACTTAAATTTCTTTGCATTGCTCATATCATTCACCTCATAACTCGTAAGGCCGCTCTCTCCCCTGGCCTCCATTGATCCCGCACTTACTGCATTGGATTGCAGGAAACGACGCTCTGGCTCATTGACGCATTTGCGCTTATCAGCCGGCTGCGATGAATCACGAGAAATGTAGTCTTGATTCCACCCATGCATGGAAAAACTTTATCTCCTGTGAATGCAATGCAGCCGGCAAGTGCACATAGGGTCGGGTCAAGGCCGTTGAATTGCAGGAAACATAGTCTTGACTTGTCACCGCATGAGCAGTGACAAAATACCGCATTCACACTTACCGGCTGCATTGAATTATGCGTGTGCAGTCTAGATTATTGATTAAATCAGATTTTATACGATTTACCCAAGTTTGCCTGCAACTTGGACTTTATGTAAGTCATATTAAATGTTATGGTTCTGACATTTTTGCAAACTTATTGGCTTTGCAAGTCAATAAGTTTGTATTTAAATACTTTTAAACTTACTTTGCAAACTTATTGACTACTAAAGGACCGAAGATTTTCAAACTGTTTGTATGAGAATCACAATCAGTCTATAACTTATTCATTTTCTTTATTGCTAAATGAGACATGTTTTCACTTTAGTCTGTACAGGAATCAGATCACTGATGTCGGTGCCCAGTACATTGCCAGAGTGGTTGAAGAATGTTCAAGTCTTAGAACTTTAAAGTAAGAAGAGTTTTTACTGATAACAAATATTTGGCATCTCTGTATCACCCATATGTTTAGCATGAAATAAATCAAATCAAACTGCATTTAACAAAACTCCCAAACAAGCTGTTTACAATACAAGTTAAAACAGCAATGACAAGCTATGTTATTTTATCTGTTTAAATTGCAGCAGTAACCTCCCAATCCACATTCTGGGTTCCCAAGCCATGCCATGGCTTTTGACAATTTATACCTAATAATAATAAATAAAATAATAATAGTCCTTGGATTTGATACAGCGCCTTATCACGTCTTCGAGACATCTCAAAGTGCTTCACAGAATATACTGTAAAGTGAATTGACTATATATTTTGTGGGCAAAACTTGGCAGCCAATTGCGCACAGCAGTGTCCCACAAACAGTCGTGGATTAAGTGACCAAATTATTATTTTTTCTTAGAAAGATTTATTAACCCCGGAAAAACGATCTGCCAATCGACTAACTACCAGATTCTACTTACTGCTAGGTAAACAACAGCGTATGGAGTAAGGAAACTTGCCCAACTCTTTGTTAATAATTAAGTCATTAGATCCTTTTCTCATCTTGTTCAAGGTCTCAAGAACTACCTCTTTGACAACTATTTCTGACATCTCCTCCCACCCTCAAGAGCTTCTGCACCCAGCTCTGGAGTCCAACCAGTACTCTTAAGGGCCCTGGATGACCTCTGACTTGAAGGGTGCCATCTAAATTTGTGTTGTAAGCACGGTGTGTTTTCCAGAGACTGAGTGCACATTCCATTTCAAGCACAGAGAATATTTTATGTATATAAAGGTATATATATGCAGAACCCCTCTGGTTTGGCACCTCTCAAGCATAGTGATGGATTTTCACATATGTCGGATACCTGGTGACTTTAAAAAAAAGTTTTTTTTAACAGAAAGGGTTACAATATTTGTAATAGTATAATATTCAGAAACTTTTTTAAACTCCATTTTGTAAAGTTTTACCCAATTTTTATTGTAGAATTGGACTCAACAAGCTTACAAGTAAAGGAGGGATATTACTGGCACAAGCAATTCAGAAAAACAAGGCTTTCAGGGATATAGGGTGAGTATAGAAAAGGGTCTTCATATATTTGTTACGGTATTTTCATTCCAATTAAGTTTTATTGTTCCTTTAAAGTTCAGCACAAATTTTTACTTCTCCTATTGGCAATACTCATTTAGAAACTCCGGTCCAAACTTCATTTAAATGGTATACAGACAGACATATGTCAACAATAAAAGCCTAAAACAGCTCTCTCTTGAAAGGGAAATGAGCACTATCGGTCATGTGTTTTTTCTCTTTGAATTTACACACTGTACATCCGGCCTTGTTTGCATGTCTTGTGACTTGATAAATCCCTGGAATTGATTGACAGGATGTGGGGCAACAAGATTGGGGACCCGGGAGCAGTCGCCTTTGCTGAAGCTTTGCGACACCATCCCGCTTTATATGAGCTGAGGTATGTACATTCTTTCCAGTACTGACGACATAATCGTAACAGCGCATCAACTCACGTTCATCCAAATAAAGGAGCGCCCTATCCATTAGAACTTTGCCTCACAAGGGGCTGGGACATATAATATTAATAATAATAATCCTGATATTTGTTATAGCGCATTTCAGATCGGGAGGACGTCCCAAAACACTTCACAGGATATATTGTAAAACAGAATGACTTTTGTGAGCAAAAGCATCAGCCAATTTGCGCACAGCAATGTCGCTCAAACAGACACGAAGTCAATGACCAAATTTATCAAACAACATTGCTGGCCTGAACACTGGGAGAAACTCCTTTCTCTTTTGAAATAGTACCATGAGATCTTTGTCATCCACCTGAACAGGCAGATGGACCCCCGTTTAACGTCTCATCAAAAACACGGTAGCTCGAACAATGCAGCACACACCCAGCTATGCACTGGATTGTTGCTCTTTCAAAAGAGAAGGGAGTTTTCCACGACCCAAAATGAGTCTTGAACTCACAAACTCCTGACTCGAGAGGGAAGGAGAATTGAAATTTAGCCCAATTCTGATATTCACAAATCCCAGGGATCACTGGATATAGATCAAAAAGGGTGAACTCTGAATTATATTTCCCTTAAGTCCCACAGTAAGCAATTAGTCATGTTCAAGTCTAGTTCCCTCTTCTCGCATTCACGACTGAGGTACCAGTAGATGGAACCTCATGCAGAATAGCCCACTGAAGAGAGGAGGGAGAATCCAGCTCATTCCTCTCAAGTAACATTTCCTGGAGGTGATTTCCTGACAGGAGGTCAATTCTAACTTCATGGACTAATCTGGTATGTAACCCTGTCTTCATGAACCACTTCCTTACCAATTTCTAAAGATGGCCAGTTATAGAACAGTTCCGACTATAATAATAATAATCCTTGCATTTGATATAGCGCTTTTCACGTCGGGAGGACGTCCCAAAGCACTTCACAGAACACACTGTAAAGTAAATTGACTGTATATTTGTGGGCGAACGCGGCAGCCAATTGTGCACAGCAATGTCCCACAAACAGTCGTAGATTGAAAATGACCAATTTATTATTATTTTTTTTTGGAGGGATTATTATTAGGCGTGTGGAGTAAGGAAACTTGCCCAAGGTTTCGCCCTCTGCCTGGAATTGAACTCAGGTCTCTCGCTTGCAAAGCGAGTGCTCTAACCACTGAGCCACAGGACTCCACGAATATAGAGACTTGGTTCATGAGGGCAGGGTCACAAATCAGGTCGTGCTCAAGTATCATGCTTGATATGTCTTATCCAAAAGGTATCATTTCTACGAGGTAACAACATCGATGTTCTTTATCCAGCCTTGCAGGCAATGACATTTCTGCAGATGGAGGGAAAATCTTAGCTGCAGCACTGGAACAGAATAACTGCCTTCAGATATTTTGGTAAGGATTTAATGCACTATTGGAGCTGTGCCCAGGGCTTTTCCAGTTTGTAAATAGCTCTTGTTAGGTTTAACCTGCTAGTCACTCCCTATTTCAAGTGGGTATGGGGGAGAGGCGAAGGGAGGGGGGAGGGAATATACAACTGTATTTAATTATGATTGGAAAATGGAAAATGGCGATATAGAGAATCTTTAATATTCTTTATGAAATAGGATGACAGAAAACCAGCTGAATGATGAAGCGGCAGAGAGAATGGCAGTGATGCTTAAAGTAAACAGAAGTCTGCGTCATTTATGGTAAGTAGTCCTGTGGGTTTAAAATAAAAGCATTGTGTGTTTTGCACGGTTATGAGCCCTCTCTCCCTGGTTCGGCATCAAGCTCCACCCCTGATATTATATAACTTGCATTATTATTATTTTGTAACTTGGATTTATACAGTGCCCGTCTCGGAGTGATTATATAATAATCCTTGCATTTGATGTAGTGCCTTATCACATCTTCGAGACATCACAAAGCGCTTCACAGAATATATTATTGTTAATATAAAAGTTTTTGTACAGTGTCTCATGTATAAATCTTCCTTCATAATAATAATCCTTGCATTTTGCTATAGTGCCTTATCACATCATTGAGACGTCTCAAAGCACTTCACAGAATATACTGTAAAGTAAATTGACTGTTTATTTTGTGGTGAAACACGGCAGTCAAACAGCAGTGTCCCACTCATAGTCATGAATTGAGTGACCAAATTATTATTAAATCATTACTATTATAAATCCAATGGCTTGGACTAGATTTCTCACTGCTTTGATAATTACATACCAGTATCTTGGAAGAGTGAGTGTAACTAAGCATTCCCCTGGCCTGTTTGTACTGTACTGATGGTGATAATTGGAGGAGCTACCCTGAGGGATGGTCGGCCATCAACATGAGAGGGAGTTGAATTAATAGGGAGGTGGAGCATGGTTAATTTGCTCTCCAGTGGCTGTGCTGTGGAGTGAGTCCTGTAGCTCAGTGGTTAGAGCACTCACTTCGCAAGCGAGAGACCTGGGTTTGATTCCCGGCAGTGCAAAACAATGGGCAAGTTTCCTTACTCCACACGCCTCTGTTTACCTAGCAGTAAATAGGAACCCAGTTGTTTGTCGATTGGGAGATCACTTTTCCAAGGGGTAGTAATTCCTTTAAAATAATTAAAAATAATTTGGTCACTCAGTTGGCAATTGTTTGTGGGACACTGCTCTTCACACTTGGCTGCCGTGTTTCACCCACAAAATATACAGTTAATTCCCTATGCAGTATATTCTGTGAAGTGCTTTGAGACGTATCAAAGACGTGATAAGGTGCTATACCAAATGCAAGGATTATTATTACAAAAAAGCACTTGTCTCACAGGTGAATTCACGAGCTCCATCTCTGACACGGCGGAGGGGATTCAGGGGTTGAGATTCAGTGCAAAGGACAAATGAACACTACGCAAGGTGCCCGAGGCCCCCTGGTGTTTGTCTTCTCTTTGACCGAGCCTTCAGCTCCCCTCTCGACTCTCTTCCCCCTCCTCGCTCCCTCCCTTCCCTCCCCTCACCCTGACCATTTCCCCCCTCCTCGCTCCCTCCCTTCCCTCCCCTCACCCTGACCATTTCCCCCCTGCTCGGGTCATGACCCAACTGTGCAGCGCCTTGGGACGTCCTCCTGACGTGAAAGGCGCTTTATAAATGGAATCTTGTTGTTGTTGTTGTTTGTGGAAGTTAATACTTCAGTAATGAGGTGAAAAAAGGGAAATTTTTATAATTCTGGTTTCTTTAGCTCTTTAAGATAAAAAAAATTGGCAGGGTATAATTTTACAGTTTTCCTTGCTTCCTGAAGTGTGGTGCATGCACACTCAGGGAAACATGCACCTGAGCAAAACATTTGCTGAGTCGTAACTTTCCAAACCAATTTGGAACAGTGCCTGCAATTTACCTTAAAACAGGACAAATCAATGCCTTCAGGTGACTCAGAACTAGGAGACAGCTGCAGAGCTCACCACACTGAAGGGGTCTTCACTAAAGCGTTGCTCTTGTGCATTTTGATGTTATTTAAGCCGGATGTGATTTAATGCTATGATTTCCACTTACAGTTTGCGAGTTTGTATAGGTTAAAAGTAGAGAAACAGCAATTTGCACATAAGAGCATCTCACACTTGATAAATGCACACGTCAGGTACATAATAGATTTAAGAATGTCAGCAGAAGATAGGATTAATGAGCTATGTGTTTAGGACTGTTTTGAAACCAGGTGCGGAAAGAGGAGGTGAGGAAAGTGGTAAGGAAATGGAGAGTGAATTAATGTAAACCAATTGAAAGAATGGAAGATATAGACTGGAATTTAGGGCTGAAGAAGACTGTATAGGCAGCGAGTGGTGAGACTATGCTTAGATTTTAAAACGAGGAAAAAGGTCTTAAACTCAATCTGCTGTGGAACTGAGAGCCAATGGAGCTTGGCAAGGACAGTGTGGAGAGTTTTGTGTGAGAGAAAACCCAAGCTACAAAGTATTGAATGAGTTGAAGCTTCTGGAGAGTGAAACTAGTGAGGCTGACGAGGAGAAAATCTGACTTGCCATTGAACTCTACTCTCCAGATGCTCTCTAAACACCATCTTGTTGCTAATAGATGTGAAGGAGCAGTTGGATTAATTATTCCTCCCAGTATTCTCATCCTCTCTGAAGGGAGATGGTAACCTTACGCTGAAGATATGATTGAGCTTAAAACATTTGACACGTGGGGAATTGCTGGAGTGAAGACACCCCTGTTTATTACAGGATACACAATCCAGTATCTCTTGGTGTAGGCTCCTCAAACAATTAAGACACAAAGCCACCCTTCAGCATATCCAGGAATGAAACCTTTTTTTCTATTCACAACACTCAAATATATTTCTTATTTGCAGGCTGATAAATAATAAAATTACAGCGCTTGGAGCCAAGTATTTCAGTGATGTACTCAAAGAAAACACATTCATAGAAGAGATCTGGTAAGGATATGTCTATTTGACTTGGGAATAATGGCTTAACTATCTCCATTCTGTTTATGAGCATTTACTTCTCTTGAGTTTCTCTATACCATACGTCACACGAGATCACAAGAGAAGTTTGGATGAAAAAGGCCTGTTTGATTACTTCCATTAGACCTAGCATACTGTCCTCCCATTGCAGTAACAAGTGGTTTCTTAAATAAGTCAAACATCCTGGGCTCAACCACCATTCCTGGAAAATCATTCCAGCCGTAAATATATACTTCCAGGTGAATCTGCCCTGAAATTGGCCTTGCAACCCTCTTGTTCTGCTCCTTGATGTGTCTGAAACTTACTTCCCTGCAACAGGACAGCAGGCTCACTGTTGTAGGCTACTGCCAGTGTTGTTGGGAGCCGACTAATTGGTAGATGTGAGGGAGCAGCCTGATCTGACTTGCATACTCACCTTAGGGGAGATGAGGTTGGAATTGTTCTTATGAAGACAGGATTTAGACTAAAATATCTGATGTGGGGGATTGCAATTAATAAATGGTAGTAATCACTTAACACACAGCATGTTAAAGCACCAATATACTACTGTCACCTTGACATCAAGCGTCTGGAGTATTTTCTGTTGAAAATGAGTCTCAGCAAAGAGGCAATGCACGGCCTTAACCTAACAATCATAAAACTCTTAGCGAGCACTGCCAATTTCTACATGGGGATTGAGCCAGTACAACTGGCAATAGTGGAAGTTAAATATTTAGATATTTGCTGCGTTACAGGAAATGCAAGGAGAAGGGAGGGGAATCAATCAGTGCCTGATAGAGAAAGAGTGATTAACATTTGCGGTTGTGATCCTTCATCAGGGACCCTGCATCTATAAACATGTCTCTTCAAATGCTCATCACCCTGTGGTGAATTTCCACTCTGTCGTGTTTTATTTCCGAGTTGTTTGGATCTGGAATGCATTGCCTGAAATGGTGGTGGAAGCCGATTCGATAACGACTTTTAAGAGGGAAGTAGATAATTATTTGGGGAGGACAAGTTTGCAAGGATATGGGGAGAGAGCGGGGGAGTGGGAATGATTTGGATAGCTCCTTTCAAAGAGTCGGCACAGACAAGATGGGCCAAAAGGCCTCCTTCTGTGCTGTATAATTCTATGATTCTGAATTATTCAGCTTTTACGTTCTTATTTCAGCAACTATGCCCCCAATCTTTGGAACTCCCTCGCTCTACCTCTCCGTCTCGCTCCTTCTCAATCTTGTCTTTGAAACCTGCCTAAACATCTTATCTCTTTGACTGCATCTGCGGTCACCTCTCCCTCCCTTGTTCCTTTGCTCTGGGTCTTTCTCTGAGTTTGGTTGATAGACATATCATGCAATATTTGCTATGGTTTTATGGATAACCCTTCACCTCTTCATTGTGTGTCCTTTCCAATTCAGCTTGAATGGCAACAACATATCCGCAGAAGAAGCCAAATCGTTTGAGAATGACACAAGAATTGTGCTCTGATCGTCAGGAATGGATCCAGCCTTGGCCCACCGTGAAGCTGAGCTTTAACACTGCGTAGAGGAATGAAAAAAACTGCCAAATATTCTGTAAATAATGATTGTTGGGTTTTGGGTTGAATGAGATGAAAAACTTGGAAATAAAATCAAATAACACTAGGTACAGTATGTAAAACTATAGCATTTTATATATTCTATATCCAAAAAGTGGTCCCAGCACTCCATAAATGTACAAGCTGAAGCTGCTACCCACTGTTTCATTTCACCAGATAAAACAATGGCTGGGACTGCTCCATCTACTCCTCCGTTACAGGAAATTCACACAAAATGGAATATGGACTTATATTGACAATATTTGCAATCAGGATTTTTTGCGGGGATTTTTAAAAAATCATCAAACGGTTGAATTTATTTTTGGTTAAAAAACGAATAAACTTGTGGAAATGAATTGATCCAATTTGCAATTGTTTGGTTTTGAAAATCGGTGGTTGAATCAGATACAAAAGATGCAATTAAGAGGAAACCAGATCCACACATGAGGGAATGGGGAATAGAGGCTATGGGAAGGATATTCATGTGGAGTATAAATACCAGGACAGGCAGCTTGTTTCTATGCCATGCCATCTATGCAAGTCTATCAAGACAATTTCAGTCTATAGCAGTGTACATTTTTGGCGGTGAGTGTTACAATAAATAATAATCCTTGCATTTGATATAGCGCCTTATCATGCTTTTGAGACGTCTCAAAGCGTTTCACAGAATATACTGTAAAGTGAATTGACTGTATATTTTGTGGGTGTTAGTCTCATTCTTTTTAAAGTCGTTTTTCCTTTTTTTTCTGCCTGAGTATCACATATCAACAAATAGGGGAGGGGGTTGGGGTGGGTGAGGTGGTTTGCAGATGACCTGTTCTCAGGCCACAAAAACTAGGAGATCTTTGCAAAAATTTTTCTCATCTTCCTATTTGGATAGGCCTGGCCTTTGCTGGCTGTCTCTCTGCGCACAGTGTCACAGTTGACCACAGTAACCAACACAGCTCAGCTGAATTTTTAAGCTGAAATTGGATCATTTAATAAAAAGGTTGAGCTGCTTTTCGTGCCAACTTTCAAGTTTCTAATATTAGAAAGGAGCTGAGTCTTCTCTCATCTATTTTGAATTTTAGAAAATGTCATTCGCAGGTAGAACGCAATAAGCGCAGCTGTCTGTATGTCTGTATAAATTTTCCTGATGACAAATACTCTGTGTATATGGTGACAACTTATCACTGAGGAGCGGACCCTTGTTTCTTTCCAGCTTGTTGTCCAGCTCCTTCTTCAGGTCATAGGCTTTACCAGTTATTTTTGTTAACATAGCACAACAAAGTCCTCGCTTAGCCTCTTCCACCTACCTCTCGGTATTGCTCCGTTGTCAGGTTTCAAACACAAATAATTTAAGTGCGCTCAGAAATGTTTTTAAAAGAGTGTTACCACACATGTATTTTCTTGGTGGAAATACCTTACGTAATTGGTCAGTGCTGTTTTCTCTGTGCACTGTGTTGGGATATACCGAACCGGAGAATCCGAAATAATGACTCAACAATCCTTAATAAAGGTATAATGGTTTATTATTCAATAACAGTTTATGAGTATATAGCAAAAGAGATAAATAGTCATGCTACCACTTCTATGTAGTCTGGAGGCTGATTTCAGTCTTTCGTGTCGGCTTCCCAAGCTCAAGCTTTTGCAATACTCACGTTCTCTTTTTCTCTCTGCTTCCACCCCTCTCTGTTCGGTGGCACCCCAATTATACTAAATTCCCTTCTAAGCTTTGCTCCGACCAGATAAGATTATGGTCACCAGAATTTTATTCTTCCTTTGTCCTGTCTAACCTGATTAACGAGGTTTTCTTCTTTTGGCCATGTGGAATTGAGACAGGCTTAACCGTATCTCAGTACTATCCTTGAGAGTGTAACTGGTTTACAAGAAAAGCTTTCAGACACACGTTCCGTTGTCCTGGTGCCAGGCTCATGGTCTTCCCCCTATCTCCAGGTGGCCCTTACCTCATACTCCAAGACTATAGGTTGTACCTGCTTCTCCCAGCACCTGGAACCAACAGACTCAGCGTTCTCTTAACATTTTAAACTAATGTGTTATAATTGCTATAATGTGTTATAATTTCTATATATTTCAGTCAACCTAATAACTGATTCTATATGTAACCTGGAGGGGTTTTTAAGCTCTGGGCAGCTATCCTATATTTTGCCTTCAAAATACACAGTGACTACACTTTAGAGTAAATCCTGTGACATTCTCGGAGACATACTCCTGAACCTGAAAGGTGTTATATTCAATGCAAAGAGTATTATTATTAATAATATATATCCTGTAGGTGTTCTCTCTGTGCAGAAACCCTATATATGCAAGCACTTCGGAATGTTACCCAGTGTGAGGGACGATATATAAATGCAAGTCATTGTTATATATAGCCTGGAGCACTGCTCACCTCAGGCATCCATGGATGCAACTCCACCTTGCTAAGCCATCCTGGAACCTTGGGATCTTGTTTGACCCTCAACTATACTTTCTACCCCACATCTGCGCCATGCCCCATTCTGCCTTCCCCGACCTCCGCAACGTTGCCCGTCTCCTCCACTGTCTCACACAACAGGCTGCCGAAACCCCTTATACGTGCTTTCATTACATCGAGGCTCGACTATGCAAACTCATTGTTTGTCGGACTCCTTAACTCCTCCCTCCATAGACTGCAGATCATTTGGAACTCTGCATCCCGTGTCCTCTCCCGCACTAGGCCCCAATGACCCTATCACCTCCATCCTCGCCCAACTCCACTGGCTTCCCATCACACAGAGGATACAGTTCAAGATCCTGGTCCTCACCTTCAAAGTCCTCCATGGTTTTGCTCCCCCCTACCTCTGCAACCTCCTAACCCCCTATCACCCTGTTTGCTCCCTCCGCTCAGTGGGCTCCTGCCTGTTTCACGTCCCCCGCCTCGCTCGCCCCACTATTGGCAGGCGGGCCTCTGGTTTTGTCTTATTGCCCTGAGCATTTGTGTGAGTGGAAGGAGTTTACAATGACATCAGCAAACTCACATCAATTGAGGGTTATTTTGTGCATGCAGTCTTTCCTTTGCAGAGAATCTTAAGAAGCTCTTGCTTAGAATGAAAAAAAACCCTGAGAAATAATCTTGCAAAGTGTCTGTTTTGTGTTCTTGGATGTATGGAATCTATCACTTTTCCAAACAATCTGACAAAGGTTTACTCTTATGAGGAAAAAACACAAGTATTTGACCTTGTCACGTTCTGAAATGAAGTCTGAGTACATTCTGGATTAATGCAGAACTGCTAAAGGGCTAGGGAAGAAACCCATTGAGGAAGTTGGTAGTAGCAGTTGAAACTATAATACTTGCAAACCAACAGTCAGTTATGGGAAGCTAACACCAGTGATAATCAATGGGATTCAAAGCAAAATTTGCTCAAATGTTCTCTCCTGTGGCCTGGTATTTTTGCTTTTAAATCTACAATTTTGTTTCGATTTTTCAGGCTTTATCAAGAGTCCTGTAGCTCAGTGGTTAGAGCACCACTGGTTCAATTCCAGAGACCTGAGTTCAATTCCAGGCAGAGGGCGAAACCTTGGGCAAGTTTCCTTACTCCACACAGAGCCTAATAATAATCCCTCCAAAAACCAAAACCAATAATAAATTGGTCATTTTCAATCTACGACTGTTTGTGGGACATTGCTGTGCACAATTGGCTGCCGCGTTCGCCCACAAATATACAGTCAATTCACTTTACAGTGTGTTCTGTGAAGCGCTTTGGGACGTCCTCCCGACGTGAAAAGCGCTATATCAAATGCAAGGATTATTATTATTATTATTATCGTGTTGAGAAAATTAAAAGTCACTGAAGAGCTGGTGGCAAAACACATTGAGGAAGTCTTTGACAACTTAAGGAAGAAAAGAGTGTAAATAGTTTGCATTAGCCGTTTGGTAAAATTTGATTTGTTGGTCAATGTTTGAGATTACGCATCATGACACTGTTTCCAAAAGTGCAGGAAGAGCTAACTGCTTACTCTGCCATAAGGTAATGAGGGAGAAGGGATTAGATGGGTATGGGAAGGAGGAGGCGAGGAAAGGAAGATTAGGATGGTGAGTAACAATACCAGAACAAATTAGATGGGCAGAATGGCTTGTTTTGGAGCTGGAGATTTAATGTAATTAGTTGCACAGAGAAAGAACATGATGAAATTGAATGTGGACAGGTGGGAAGACAACAGAGCCTCTCATCTCAACCTCGTCACCTCAGGTCACATCAGATGGAGTTGGTGATCGGAATTAAAACACTGACTGCTCCGTGGATAACCTGCTACAGTATTTCACATTCAAAGATGAATGTCACCCAACATAGCAATGTATGAAGAGCAAAAAAGTACAAAAAAATCAATTGTTCCCCCACGAGTGACATACTCTGAAACAAATCAGAATTTAATTTCCTTTTAGCTTTGATGTATAAATAGTATTTCAGCCCCTAAGGAGTTCATTTTACCCCTTCTGTTAACCCAGTATGGTGGCTCTGGTTTCTGTAGATAGGTGTGTAAATTGCCCTTGGTTGTGTCTATCCCCTTGCCCTTCATAGCAAATAGTTAAGATGTTTCATATCATGTTTTACTAGCCTAACCTTTTCCTTGTTCATGCAGGAGAACTATTCTAATTGTTTTTTTTGCGCTCAATACTGACTGGGTGATACTCTTAGCAAATAACTATAGATTGTTATTTAAGAAGTGTATGACTACATTATGCTGCGTTGGCTAGTCATTCAGTGTGAACGGCATAACACGTTTAATGCACTGAGCAAACTAAAAGAAGCAGAACCGGTGACCCTGAGGTTAGTAAAACCATTCTGCTTCAGAAACTTCTTAGGTGACAGTCTGCAGCAACTGCCAGTTAAATGTTTCGCAAGAAGTTTGATATGAGCAACACAAAGTAGCCTCTTGCATCCTGTTTGACTGAAGAGGTGACGTTGTTTTAGGGAAGAGGTAGGGTTTGGGGAAATCAATGCAGTCACTAACTTCACGGTGAAGAGGAACAAGCTGGGGACTGATTCCTGAAAACATATCGCAACCGAATTACCTGAGAAGTTCCTGCCCCCGGTGTTACTGATAAACAGCTGACACTCAGCACAGGCCTGCGGACCCTGAGGATTCAATGAAAGTAAAATGATCTCAAAGGAGGAGACACCTTGAGGACGTGAAGTAGGCAGGCAGGAACTTGTGGATCCAGACAGGTACAGTACAAACTGAACTCTCTCTCTTGTCAGACAGGAGATTGTCACTGTAGTTCCTAATGCTTTTAATCTTCCCGGCACAAAGGTCCATTTGCAGATCAAAGGGTGTGCTTCAGTAGGCTGAATAGCCTCTTTTCATGTTCTTACATGCTTTACCTTTTAGTTCAGTGCCTAATGACAGAGATACAAACAGAAAAGGAAATGAATGCAGCTCTGTCTCATTGAAATTAATTTTGTTTATCAAACTCTACAAACAGGATGATCCAAATTGTGTCAAAAAATAACACTAGTAATTCTTATTACCAATAGTCCCACATTAAACTGGATGATATTTGCTTCTTTAGGAAAATTGACTTTTTACTTCTACCTCCACGGGGAGTCACCATGGAGCAACTAGCAACTCCGAGACACAAGAGTCCCTCTTACCTCGATCTCCTGAGGTCGCATCGGGTGGAATTAGTGAATGGCATTAAAAACACTGAATGCTTGCTGGATAACCTGCTGCAGGCTGGCCATTTTACACTTGAAGATACTGAAGTTATTCAACAGACTGCAACTCAACATGGAAAGGTACAGGTAGCAAAGGACAAGTGTCGACTCTTAGGAGTCCTTTAGATGACCAGGTGATTTTTCTCCACAGATCTGGTAATTGATATTACAAACGTCTGAGAGAGTTAGGTTAGCTTTTCGGGTGAGTTGCTGGAGTGTCTTCGTGTTCACTGTAAATGATAGTGGTACAATGCAGAAGAAGGACTGAATTTGACTGGAGCAAGTTTCAAGCAATGCTTGATGTCACTGGGTTAGCTTCTGTTTTTGCTTCACAATTTGAGTGATTGTCATGATTATTTTCAGCTTGTACAGCGATGACAGATAGTCTGTCACAAGATGGCAAACCGTTCACTGCACAAGTGTACAAATATCTGAGAAGGAAGTGGGGCGGAGACTGTAGTTACAACACTGTACAATTTACACACGCACAGCGCTTTTCATGTCAGGAAGACGTCTCAAACCACTTGATATGCCAGCGAGGCATCCAAACCGGGGGTGGGAGCCAATGGGGAGGGGAGAGAGGCTAAAAATGAGCGAAGCATGGTCAAGCAGCGATGTTTTGACACAGACCTTGAAGGTGAACCAGGGCCACTGAGTGGGAGGGACACTGAGGTGGAATTCCAGAGAGCAGGGCTAGAATGGCTGAAAACCTGCCACCCCCTTGTTGATAGGGCAGGGGTCACGAAGCAAATCAGTTGAGGACCCAGTTGGGAGGAAGGGGAAACGAATGAGAGGTGGGAGGAATTGCTGGAGAACGATTCTACACTAGAATTGAGCAACGAGAGGCAGGACGGAGATGGAGAAGAAAAGAGAAATCAGATTTGGAAGTGTCAGAGCTGTGTGTGGGACCTTGGAACTCATATAGTTTAAGCCAACACTCCAGTGTAGTACTGGGGGGCGGGTGGGTGCATTGTTGGATGTGTATTCTTATTATTACATCTTAGTAAATGAAACTTTTTGAGGCATCTACTGACGTGAAAGATGCTATATCAAATTTAAGGATTGTGTTGTCACCATACTGGGAGCTCAAGTCTCAATGTGGGACTGGAACCCACAGGCCTTGCAGTACTGCAATTGAGATGATTGCTTTGAGGTCTGGAGGTGGAAGATTGACACCACTGGATGCATCATTGGGCACCAGTCCCCCAAATGTTGCTGATTTCCTGGATTGATGTTTTACAGCCAAATAGTATCTGTCAGAGGCTAGACAATGATGTATTAGCACAGAGAGGTACCTCAAGGTTGGATCGATGCAATGAGTGGGCTAAAAAGCTGTCAGTTATACTTCATGCAAATAGTCATCTCAGTAAGTTCTGCTCTATCTCTCCTTTACTGACACAACTGTTAATGCACAAAATAATGTAGTCACCTTAAAGCTAATGCGTCTCACTATTTATTTTAGAATCGTAAAATACTGGATATTATATCAGGTAAAGGAGAAGAGACTGCAGAGTACTTTATATACATCATGTATCGTGCAAAAGATGTTTACTCAAACCTGGAGCCTTGGTTGGAAGAGATTCATTATTGCCCATCGGATTTCTTGCTGAAGAAATCAGTGCTTATTACGGATGCTGGTGAGAGATCAGTTTGATATATTTGGCACAAGCGTTAAATGAAATATTTTGAGATCCACATGAATTTAACTAGAATCAATCGAATATGTTTAACATGGTCTGATCAATTATGGAGATTATTTAGCCAGTGATCAACACAAAGAGGTGGCTCACTTTTATTCTTGGTTGCCAGTCAGGAACCTGGGTATCTTGTTTGATCCTGAACTGTCCTTTCTCCCCCACGTCCGCGCCATGACCGGCACTGCCTACCACCACCTCCACAATATTGCCAGACTCCGTCACTGCCTCACCCCTCAGGCTGCCAAAACCCTCACCCATGCATTCGTCACATCAAGGCATGATTACGGGAAGTCCCTCCACAGCGGCCTTCCCAACTCTTCCCTTCACAAGCTGCAGATCATCCAAAACTCTGCAGCTCGTGCACTCACACACACCGGGCTCCGTGACCCCATCACTCCCACCCTCACCCGACTCCACTGGCTCCCCTTTCCCCAGAGGATCGAGTTCAAAATCCTCGTCCTCACCTTTAAGGCCATCCATGGCCTTGCCCCCTCCTACCTCTCTGACCTGCTGACTCCCTACCAACCTGCCCGCTCCCTCCGTTCAGCGGGCTCCGGCCTGCTCCATGTCTCCCGCCCGGTGGTCGGGTTTCAGCCTCTCTGCCCCTACACTCTGGAACTCCATCCTACGGTCCCTTCGCCTCGCTTACTCCCTTGCCTCCTTCAAGGCCGGTCTCAAGACCCTTCTCTTCGACTGTGCCTTTGGTCTGCCTCCCACCTCTCTGCCTTCCCTCACCCCTACACCACCAGTCCTCATGCTCGGGCCCGAACACCTGACTGTTCAGCGCTTTGGGACATCCTCCCAACGTGAAAGGCGCTCTATAAATGTAATTTTGTTGTTGTTGTTGCTATGAATGACCCAAACACTATTGAGGGAATAATTCCTTCAAAAAAAATTGGTCACTCAATCCACGACTTTTTGTGGGACACTGCTGTGCGCAATTGGCTGCTGTGTTTCGTCCACAAAAATATACAGTTAATTCAATTTACAATATATTCTGTGAAGCGCTTTGAGACGTCTCAAAGATCTGATAAGGCGCTATATCAAACGCAAGGATTATTATTATTATTATCAATTCAAGCAATGTATTTCGAGCCTCCTGAGCTCAGTTATGTATTAAGCAGAGACAAACTGCATTGTATCAAACTTCTTTGGATTATTTTGGGATCTCTTTAGAGAATGATAAATAATAAATGCTTACCTAAGGGCTGAGCTCAGGAGGCTCGAAATGCATTGCTCAAATTGATGATAATAATCATAATAATAATCCTTGCGTTTAATATAGCATTTTAGCATGTTTTCTAAACATCTCAAAGCGCTTCACAGAATATACTGTAAAGTGAATTGACTGTATGTTTTGTGGGTTAAATGCGGAACCCAATTGCGCACAGTAGTGTCCCACAAACAGTCGTGATTAATGCTGTATGACAAATCATTCCATATTTTTTTCTCAAATTTAAGAAAGTTCACTTCAATCGCCAACTCTGTTTATAACACCAAAACTGATGTGTTTATGTAATGCTTATGGAACATGGAGAGTAATAAAAATTTTACTCTCTAAAACTATATTGTCCAAAATATTTTATTAATGTAGTGCTTGTGTGCTTCAGTTTGCCAGTACACCGAAAAGCTCAGACATGAACTGGGAAGAGACTCAAAGTTCATTTCATCATATGCCCAAAAGCAGGACACCTTGTTTGAAGATACATACACGGAGACTCTGATGGAATTAATCAACAATGTCAATGAACCCAAAGGAATGGTATCCTGTTTGGATGAATTATTCAGTGTGTTTGGAGTCATCAGTGAAGAGGCAGAAACGGTGATTGTAACCGGTGACGCTGGGGTTGGTAAATCTATTCTGCTTCAGAAACTGCAGAGCTTGTGGTCCAAAGGAGAGCTGTGTGCTGATGTCAAATTCTTCTTCAAATTCAGGTGCCGGATATTTAATAGCTTTAAGGAGGAAGACAAGATTTCACTCAAGGATTTGCTCTTCAAGTACAACTGTTACCCTGACCGAGACGTGGATGAAATCTTCAGATATATCTGTCAACATCCAGAGACTGTTCTCTTCACACTGGATGGGTTTGATGAGATTAACATTGACTGTGACGTGAACGACATCCCTGACATTTCCTCGCCCTTTGTCCCCACTCACCCTGTGGCCTTGTTGATGAACCTTCTCCGAGGAAAATTATTAAAAGGTTCTAAAAAGGTATTGACAGCCAGAACTGGCACAATTCTGCCGCTGAGAATCGTGAGGAAGAAAGTCGTATTGAAAGGATTTTCGAAGGACAATTTGCTGCAGTATTTGAAGAAGTTTTTCAAAAACAAGAGTTATCAAAGTTCAGTCTTGACCCAGCTGGAAGCAAACCCTCACCTGTGCACCCTGTGTTCAGTGCCACTCTTCTGCTGGATTATATTTAAATCTTATGAGCACATTCTGAACATGCCCAACACCCACCAGCTCTCAGACTATATCACACTGACAGATGTTTACTTGCTAATGGTAGAAGTCTTCCTTAATCATTCTTGTAAAATGAACTTGAATTGGAAAACTGCCAGAAGCCAACTAGATGTGTTCAGAACAAAAAGGAGTGCCTTGATGCACCTGGGTAAATTAGCCCGAAATGGGATTGAAAACAGCAACTTTCTCTTCCACCAGGAGCAAATCACAGCAGCAGAGATCTCCGAGCAGGACTTGCAATTGGGTTTCATCAAAGCTGCTGACCATTATGATGGCCTTCGCAACCAGTCTACCTATGAGTTCCTTCACTTGACCCTGCAGTCGTTTTTTGCTGCACTTTCATTAGCTGTGGATGATCAGATAAGCTCTAGGAGCCTCTTCAAGTTATTTAATGATAGTGACGTGACCGGCTCAATTACAAAGAAACTCCGCACTATTTTTTTTGAGTGCTTAATCCCTGTTAGGCAAGGCGCAAAAGATGTCCCCAAGCCACACAGTGAGCACATTCGGTTTACCAAGCTGTTCCTTTGTGGTCTCCTGTCCAGCAGTAATATTAATCTGTTAATGAAACTGGCGTGTCCTACAGTTATTCAGGGGAAACGTTCAGTATTGACGTCTTATCTTAATGACTGTGTGAAATCGCACATAAGGAGACTCCCTCGATTAAATCTTGAGGATGGCTGCAAGATCCATATCCTGCCATGCTTTGTCTGGCTGATCAGGTTTATATTTGAAATGCAGAACGAGGCTGTAGCCAAACTTGCAGCCCGAGGAATATGTAACATTTACATGAAGCTGACCTACTGCAACATCTGTTCCTCCGACTGCAGTGCTCTCACATTCATTCTGCTTCATATCCCAAACACCATCGCATTGGAAATGGACAACAACAACATCAATGATTACGGGGTGGAACAACTGCTCCCCTCCTTCAGTAAGCTTACGGTGCTCAGGTAAGCTTTGCCACCAAATATTAATCTTGCCTCTCACATTAACTTGTAGTGCTTAGTTTGGTGTTCAGGTGGCTATACCTGGCTGTTAATGGTGTCCAGATCCAGGAGCTATCAACTATGAAATATAGAGCCAGAAAAAATGTGCAACTTGGCTGCTTTCACATATCAGGTTGAAGTTTGTTTCATTTCCGTCTGTGCCTATTACAGGAAACTTGTGTTCCTCATAGCATTTGATAAACTAATTGTATTTTTCAACAATATTTGGGGAAATTGGATGGATAGACTAGTTGGACCTACTGGTCCATATCTGTCTGAAGCTATACTAAATTACTATTGATTTAGGTACTGCTATGTTCTAATGCAGGTTGAGTGTGAATCAGATCACAGACCATGGGGCCTGTGTCTTGGCAGAAGAACTCAGAAAGTATCATCAGATCAAGTCACTTGGGTGAGAATGCTTTACATTATTATATGTATAGTAAAATGTGAAATACTATTTGCCTTTGTTCTCGTGCTCAAATTCTTTAATACCCTTGCACCACCCTACCTGTCCAAACTTCTCCAATCCATATTCTCTGCTTTTTGAATCCGGTGTACTTCTCATTATCCTTTGCCTGAGCCTTTAGCCACTACGCCTTTGCTCTCTGAGACTCACTTCCAAGTCGATACTGCTTTGGGACCTGTCTCTTGCTGCTCTCAAAAATCTCCAAAGGTATATTTGTTTCATCGTGCTCCAAAATTCTTCCCAACACTTGACTGATATCTGCTACTTCCGTTCCTAAGAGCTCTTGTAACATGGGAATGTACAGGAATAGAAAACAAACTACTTTGTCCCACTTCACGTAATCACAAGTTTATTTTTTAAAAAACTAAATAAAGGCAAGTTGTAATTGTTTCCTCCCTGTGTTACCTTCTTTCCTGCAAACAAAACACCCCTATTTTCAAACGCTTCCACATCTTGCTATTAATGCTGGACAGCGCTTTGGCCCTTAGCTGGTTCACAGGAGAGGCAGGCCACCTGCCTAGTGTCACAAGTTGTCCTGATAGAATGCCTCATGTACCGAGTTAAATAAAGTCATTTCAAGAGAAAACATTGTTCAGATATTGTTAGATAGTTGGCTTGGACTGGGATTTAAATTTACAACTACACTATTTTAATTCTTATCATTTAACAGGAGTTCCTGCACCAGATGTCTAACTTAATTTATTTGGAGTCTGTCTCTATTAATGTTTCATTAATTGTTTCTGCTCATGCAAAACATCTATTGTATTGTATTGATCTTCCAAAGGTAAATGAAACAAATCCATGTTTAATATTAAATAAAAACCCTCTGGACATACACAACGTGTAAATCACTATCTGAAAGATAAATAATAATAATAATGATAATCCTTGCATTTAATATAGAGCCTTATCAAGTCATTGAGATGTTTCAAAGTGCTTTGGAGAATCTATTGTAAAGTGAACTGGCTGTATATTTTTGTGGGTGAAATGCAGCAGCCAATTCCATCTTGGGATGTTCTCCTGACATGAAAGGTGCTATACACATATAATTTGTTGCTGTTGCACACATCAGTATCCCACAAACAGTCGGTGATTGAGTGACCAAATTATTATTATGTACAAAGAGTACAATGAGTTCAACCCTTCAATGGAACTAAATCAGATTGATTTTCAAAATGGCACATCATTAATACTCGTGTTCCTTTTTTGTTTAAGACTGAGTTTGTTTTGATTAATTACCTGTCCGCTTATTTTCAGTCTTTACAAAAATCATTTAAGTGATGTTGGTGCCAGGGCCATCGCTCAGCTGGTCGAAAGCTGTCCCAGTCTTGTTTTCTTGAGGTAATTCACTTCTGTGTCACTTACTCACATTTTATTACGCATCTCAAGATGTTTTAGAGCAATGGTCGAGGAATAACAGGTTCCTAAACATATTTGCCATGTCTATTCAGGCTGGGATCCAACATGATCACCCATGAAGGGGGCGCATACCTAGCAAAAGCAATCCAGAATAGCAAAACCATAGAGGATGTTGGGTGAGTAAATACACAAGCCTCAAAATATATTCCAAAATAGTAGCCACTCTTGTAGTTATCAATGTGGGATTGGATAATACAAGGAGTTTCACTGTCAAGGTTTGAATTTAAATTGAATATATAGTAATAATAATCCTTGTATTTGATGTAGAACCTTATTATGCTGTTGAGGCATCTCAAACCACTTCACAGGATCCAATGTGAAGTGGTGCTACTGTGTTTTTGGGGCAATTATCGCAGCCAGTTTGTACATAGCAATGTCCCACAAACAACCATGGAGTGAGTGACCAATTTTATTTGGGAGACTTTTGGCCAGGGCACTGAGAGAGAGAGACTCCCTTATATAGAGAATACATGTTGTATTTATTTCTCCCTCTTTTCCCAGTTGCTGCTTCTTGGACTCACAAAGCAACAGGAAACATTGGATCTTCTGAGCTTGTGGACGTCTTTGTAGCCATCTATGTCATTGTGTGATTGGCTGAGAGTAGGATGTGCTTCTGTGGGCCAGGACAGTTTACTGCCTATCTCAAAAGGGCACAGAGAAGATACAAAACCGATTGAATTGAATTATACGTGGGAATGGGCACCTAAGATATGAGGATAGATTACAGCAGCTTGAAATACTTCCATTGGAGAAGAGACGATGACCGCTGATGATCTTATTGAGGTCTTCCATATTTTATACAATATAGTTGAGCTGGACTCCAATTATTCAATACAGTCAAAGGGGATCTCAATGTTTGAAGGAGAGGTTGAATGGACAGTTTAAATATAACCATTGTTCATGGCATTTCCCAGTCGATGCTATTCTTCATAGGTCAGAGAATGAGTACTAGATAAACCAAAGACTTGTCCATCCGTGGCTGTGATCAATGCCACTGCATACTTTTTTTTATAACAGTTGCCCATTGACGTTATGGGCCTTATTGTTCTTCCTCCTCGCTGTAACAGTCAAACTGAAGCCAGGTCTTCCAAATCAGAGTCCAGCATTTCAATGTGAGAACTGTGAGCACGCCGGGCAACTGTATCAATCATCTCAATCCACTATGAGGTATTGCACGTATTGCATCTCACTGTAGAGCTCCATTTGCTGAATTGAATTTGTTTTCACACTCGTCAGGTTGTGGGGCAATCAGATAGGAGACCGGGGTGCGGAAGCCTTTGCAGAAGCTTTGAGGGATCAGCACAGTCTGAAGAATTTGAGGTAAACCTATACCCATTGCACACAACTCCCAAATAGCCTCAACTCCTAACGGAGCAGTTTTATGGTACATGATAATAATAATCCTTGCTTTTGATATAGTGCCTTATCACGTCTTTGAGACGTCTCAAAGTGCTTCACGGAATATGCTGTAAAGTGAATTGACTGTATATTTTGTGGGCGAAACATGGCAGCCAATTCCAAACAGCAGTGTCCCACAAACAGTCGTGGATTGATTGACCAATTTATTACTATTATTTTTCTGAAGGAAATATTACCACGGGAAAAGTGATTCACCAATCCACTGACCACCTGGTTCCTACTTACTGCTAGGTAAACAGTCATGTGTGGAGTAAGGAAACTTACCCAAGGTTTCGCCCTGCCGGGAATCGAACCCAGGCCTCTTGTTTGCAAGGGTCGGGTGCTCTAATCACTGAGCTCCAGGACTCCTTCCCTGGTGCGAATGATTCCCATCATGGCACTGGTCTAGTGAGATTGCAACCCGACTCTTTAAGGGCCAACTTGCTGCTTAAAATTGTTAGTTACATGAGGTCATTTGCTCACAAAAACATGCTTTACAGTAAATTCTGTGAAGCGCTTTGAGATGTCCTCTCAATGTAAAAGGTGCTACACCAATTGCAAGGATTACATCATTATTATTTCATTTTTCATCTTATTCACATCATTATCCTGAGTCCGTCTGGTTACCTACTCTGGTTATCTCATAACTTCTAACTAGTTCTAAATAAATAATTTCACACAACTACTGTGCACAGTCGGTTGTGCCTTTCAGTAGTGGTGCAATGCTCAGTCCCAATTTTTCTATCATTTTACCCTATTTTTGTTTAGCTTTTCATTTTTCAAAAGCTTTTCAAATGCTTTTCATTTACTGCTTCCTTTTCTGGGCTGCTGAAAAAAATCAATATCCCGGAGAGAGATGTTCGATCTACTCCTAACCTTTCCAAACAAGCTATATAACTATCCAATCGGAGATATACAAGAATGGCCCAGAATGCCTGTCCTCTTTGATTTTCTGCCCCTCTGCCAGGACCATCCATCTGTGGCTGTGAATCCTATATCTACTTCCAACTGGTGTTCTGTGCAGATGTAATATAAAATTAGTTAGAGCTAAGTATGAGGAGTGCTCTGTATTCAATCCAAGACCAGATTTTTCCTTTAAATTAATGTTCTTCCAAGTATAGCCATCAAGAGGATTAAGGTTAAAAGCATAGATCAATACCTTAAGGAAAACTTGCAGTGGAGCTAGAACAGCTGTGTTCGGCTTCAGTTCAATCTGTCAGAAAAAACATGAAAGTCCACACTATAGGTTCTCATCGATGTGACGTTCCTCTCTCCCAACTCAATAGCGGCAGTGCTAGCTGAAGTTAAATTGTGCGTCTTAGTGTTGTCATCGGGGAAGGCGAAACAAAGATTGAATCCCTCCTCTCCTAGCCAAGGCTTGGCATACTTCTAACAGCCTAGCTCAGAGAGATTCCCATCATAGCACTTGTCTAGTGAGATTGCAACCCAACTCTTCAGCGACCAACTTGCTGCTTAAAATAGTTGCAGTTAGGTGGACATTGGCAAATAAATTTGTGATATTCACAAAAGGGGTGGGCAGCACTAATTGTGACTTCCATTTTGCTATCTGATTTGGTATAAAATAACCAAAGAGGCTAATTATGACTTCTGAAAACCACCAGAGTTGAACACCATTGGTGCATTTGAGTTCTGGGATGTACAAAACCCCACGTCAAGCCTTTGAACTTACATAGTTTAGGCACTCAAATGCAGAACTGGGGTATGCTTTTATTGCCAGGGGTGCCATCCTTTGGATATACCATTAAACCAGCGTTCTGTCTGCTCTCCAGGTGGACTTTAAAGATCCCATGGTAAAAAGAGAAGGGAGTTTCTCCCGGTGTCCTGGCAAACAATCCTCCAGATAAAATCGGTTATTGCCAGGGGTGCCATCCTTTGGATATACCATTAAACCAGCGTTCTGTCTGCTCTCCAGGTGGACTTTAAAGATCCCATGGTAAAAAGAGAAGGGAGTTTCTCCCGGTGTCCTGGCAAACAATCCTCCAGATAAAATCGGTTATTCACTTTTATGGCTGTTTGTGGGACATTACTTTGCACAAATTAGTTGCCACGTTTATAAATAAATATTACATATTAGACCTCCATATGACTTGGTATTTAGCTTAGTCCTCATCCAGAAATAACCACATTTCTCTAAAGTGCATTTTATTTCAGAATCACAAACTGTCCCATATCAACTATTGTTGAGTGTTATATACATGTCTCTGCTAGTGCAATATATGATTGTGGACATCTTGCCAGTGTCCTTTGTGCTTCACTCCTTTGAGTGGTGTTTAGGGATTCTTCTCCCTTGCCTTAATGCGTTTTATCTGTCTCAGAATGAAGTCCGATTTACACTAAAGATTGAATCAATTTTTTTCTAACTGAATCAAATTGAATCTGATATACAGTCCTTACTGCTCCTAGTCATTTTCCTCAATTTATCAGGCAGCAAATCTCACGTTGGAGGTTTAGGAGACATTCAGGGAATTAGATGAATGCATGGAACTGAAGTGCAAATAGATGCAGTTAATACTAGAAGTTGAGTTTTCAGCAGTTGAGCACCACTGAAAGGTTGGTGTGAAAATTGCAGCCTCTCTCTGTAATCTTACATTGTTGATAAATAAGGTTGAGGCAGTTGATAACTAAAGACACCTCTGGGATTTGAGAGTGCCTCACCTTCACAACCCTGATATAGACAATCAGCAATCTTCTGTTTCATTCTCTGCTAGTCATTCAAGTTCGTTGGAACCAGAGAGAGGAGACCAAAGCAAAATGGTCAACTCTAACGCGTTGATCGGATATGATATTAAATGACTTTTGGTCACATTTAATCAAATACATATCTTATTATTGCCTATCAGTAAAATATTCATTCCGCAAATCACATTTTGTGTAAAGAAAAGTGAGACTGTTAGCAACGTACAGAAAATCATTAATTCCCAGAAAAGGAGAGCGTATTGTGGTGAGATGGTTGTATTCTTACTTCATCTAATTTCCATTGATCTTCCCCAGCATCTTACGCAGCCTTTTAGCAACCAACTCAACTTTGAGATTGATTTTTTTTCTCTCTTGTCTGGAAATGTAACACCTGTTAAATTATAGTCATGGGTGAATTTATGGCAATGAAGAAAAATCAATTCTTTTCATATCTTCTCAGCCTTGCAGCAAATCAGATCTCACCAGAAGGCGGGAAACTCTTAGCCACTGCCCTTCGCAGCAACAGCTCCCTGAAGATATTCTGGTACGCAAGCCGTAAGCATCACCAGGGGCACTCAGCGAACGGCTGTAGGATAATAATCGTTGCATTTGATATAGCGCCGTATCATGTTGTTGAGACGTCTCAAAACACTTCACAGAATAATCTGTGAAGTGAATTGACTGTGTATTTTGTTGGCGAAACGCGGCAGTCAATTGCACACAGCAGTGTCGCACAAACAGTCGTGGATTGAGTGAACAAATTATTATCTTTTTTTTAAGGGATTATTACCCCTGGAAAAACGATCCACCATTCGATTAACAACTGGGTTCCTACTCAATGCTAGATAAGCAGAAGTGTGTAGAGTAAGAAAACTTGCCTAAGATTTCACCCTGCATGGGAATTGAACCTGGGTCGAACCAATATGCTACAGGACTCCACTATACACTATATGATCTGAACCACTGAGTGTGCTTCTAAACATCACCATAATATCAATACTGGGAAGAAAGAAATGTCTGTACGTTAATACTCAGAATTAATACTTTTATAGGAGATAAATGTTGTTTATTGCAATATTCTCCTGTAGTGAGTACAAGTAGTTTGGTGGGCTAGCCTTCAAATGAGACGTTAAATCATCCTAGCTGCCTGTTATTGAGGTGGCTGTTAAAGATCCTAAGGCGATATTTGAAAAGATAGGGAAGTACTGGACAACAATCCTACAGAAAGTGTGTCCATTAATTTCATGGCTGTTTGTAAGACCTTCACTGCACACAAATTAGCCACCCCACTGCACAAATAGTCACTGTACTTGACAGTACTGTACTCTTCCCAGGAAGCTCTTTGAGAAATTTCAATGTGATTAGGCTGAATAAAAGTGTGTTTTCCTTCTGCAGTGACAAAAAGATTCAGCTCTCAAGGATTAACTGTACTATACTATACTATAAGGAGCACACAAGTGCATTTTTGAGTTAAAATATTCTATTTATTAAGAAAATATGAGCGTGGCTGTTTTGTAGAAAATGTGATTAGTGCAGGGATTAAATGTATACACACACCCTGATCTGCCAATACATGGATATATAGCATTACCTGGAGCACATGTGACTGTAAGTAAAATGCAGTTATAGAACCAGTGAATGTACAGCACAGGATTAATTAACTATAATGTGAATAACGTTTTTCAATTCCATGTGAGCTTTATGTGGCCAGTGATCAAAGACCTAAGTTTGATATTTTTTTTTCTTACATCATACATTTTTTTTATTTTAAAAGTCTCCTCTTCAACACATAATCGTTGTGTGAAGGGGCTCAAGAATTTTATTCCATCTCTGGATGGAGGGAGGGATGGAAGGTGGGAGGGAGATAGAGAGAGAGAGACAGAAAGGGTGGGAAGGAATTACACAAGTCATGATGACAAACTCGGATTTTGTTTTTCTTCTAGGTTGACACAAAATTATTTAGACGATGAAGCAGCAAAAAGTTTTGCAGAAATGTTGAAAATAAACACATCGCTGAAAAACTTATGGTAAAGTTGGCAGAATTCTGGGGTATATTGACAAATCGGTTGAGTTCATACTTAAGCTGTATGGTGATCTCCTCAGACCACACCTCAAGTACTGAAACAGTTCTGGTCACCACACCATAAGGGGGCTGCCCAGCCCCCTAGAGGCAGTGCAGAGGAGATTCCCAGTATTTAGAGGAATGAGCTACGAGCAACAATTCGACTCTTTGTCCTGAAAGGAGAAATCTCATAGGAGACTTTATAAGATTTTAAATAGGATTGAGAAAGTAAACCCAAACAAAACTTGCAGATTGAATGAGAGAGTAGAACAAGAGGACATAGGTTTAGAATCGCAAAGGGCAATGTCAGAACAGACACAGGAAAGTTTTCTTTACATTAATTAACAGCTGGAACAGGTTGCCAGGAAGGGTGGTTGAGACAAGGACAAAACCGCTTGATGCTATGATGGGCAGATGGTAAAGGGGGTGTTCTAGAAGGATGAGATCAAATGGGTCAAAGGGTCTAACTTATCCAATATTATTGTTATTATTATTAACAATAATCTGAACCTCTCAAGATTTATACCTTTATCCTGCGGTACCATGTCCATTCCCTGCTGTAAAGGCAGTAGAGCTAGCCGGGTTTATTTCTGTAAGGTTCTCTCTATTTTACAGTGTAGCTTCAAAACAAAATTTGTTAAATGAGTGTAGCTCAAATGTATGGAGATCACGTGCTGTAATATTTGGATAGGATAAATAATAATAATCTTTACATTTGGCACGCAGCCTTTCACGCGCGTCAGGAGGACATTTCAAAGTATTTCACAGATATACTGTAAAGTGTAATAATTGCAATTTGTAGACAAATGCAACAAAACTAAAGTAGTTATTACTGTTAGCACTAAAAAGTGACAAATCCCCTGGTCCGGATGGCTTGCATCCCAGGGTTTTAAAAGAGGTAGCTTATGAGATAGTGGAGGCCTTATGTCTGATCTTCCAAAATTCCTTGGATTCTGGAACAGTCCCCATGGATTGGAAGATCGCAAATGTCACACCACTATTTAAAAAAGGTGGAAAGGAAAAGATGGGGAACTATAGGCCAGTTAGTCTCACATCAGTGATAGGAAAAATTTTAGAATCATTGATTAAGGATGTGGTAGTGTGGTATTTAGGAGAGCACAATATAATTAGGTCAAGTCAACATGACTTTACAAAAGGGAAGTCATGTTTGACTAATCTCAGAGTTTCTTTGAGGATATTTCGAGTAAACTAGATAAGGGTGAATCAGTGGATGTGGTCTATTTGGACTTCCAGAAGGCATTCGATAAGGTGCCGCATAAAAGGTTAGTCCAAAAGATAAGGGCCCATGGAATTGGGGGGAGCATATTAACGTGGATTGGGGAATGGTTAACGGGTAGGAAACAAAGAGTAGGGATAAACGGGTCCTTTTCAGATTGGCGGGATGTGACTAGTGGAGTGCCACAAGGATCAGTCCTTGGGCCTCAGCTATTTACCATCTACATCAACGATCTAGATGAGGACATCAAAGTTAATATATCTAAATTCGCGGATGACACAAAACTAGGAGAAAGTGTCAACACAGAGGATGACATTAAAAAAATGCAGCGAGACATAGATAGGTTAGGTGATTGGGCAGGTAGGTGGCAGATGAAGTATAATGTAGGGAAGTGCAAAGTCATCCACCTGGGTAGCAAAAACAGTAGAGCGGGTTATTTTTTAGAAGGGGAGAGATTGGAATGTGTTAGCGTCCAGAGGGACTTGGGTGTCCTTGTACACCAATCACAGAAAGTTAGTCTGCAGGTGCAGCAGCAATTAGGAAGGCGAACGGTATGTTAGCATTCATTATGAAAGGATTAGAGTATAAGAGTAGGGAAGTCTTGCTGCAACTGTATAGGGCCCTGGTGAGACCACACCTGGAATACTGTGTCCAGTTTTGGTCTCCTTATTTAAGGAAGGATGTACTTGCCTTGGAGGGGGTGCAGCGTAGATTTACTAGGTTAGTACCAGGGATGAAGGGGATGAGTTACGAGGATAGGCTGACCAATTTGGGCCTATATTCTCTAGAATATAGAAGAATTAGAGGGGATCTTATAGAAACCTATAAGATCATCAAAGGGCATGAAAGAGTAGATAGTGGGAGATTGTTTCCCCTGGTTGGAGAAACTAAAACCAGGGGTCACAACCTTAAAATCAGAGGCCAACCCTTTCGTACAGAGTTGAGAAAGAACTTCTTCACTCAACTTCTTCACTCCACTCACTGGTGAATGTATGGAACTCACTACCCCAAAGGGCTGTTGATGCTCAGTCCTTGGACATATTCAAGACTGAGATAGATAGATTTCTAATTGCAAAAGGGATTAAGGGATATGGGGATAAGGCAGGGTCAGGTTATTAGCTGGAGTTAGGTTAGAAGATCAGTCATGATTGAATGGCGGGGCAGGCTCGAAGGGCCGAATGGCCTACTCCTGCTCCTACATGTTATTTTATGTTAGTTGCAAATACTGTACTGTGGTGAATTAGTAGATCAGCCCCTGGTATAATTATCTTAAACCAACCTGTCGGATGTACAGTTCATAGCATTTGACCAATCCAACAGCTTACAATGAAACATAACTAAAGGAAGATTACATCAATAAATCTCAGCTCTTTTACATCTTGTCAGGCTGTGCACGTGTTTCTTGGGTGGTCAGAGAGTGAACCCCATTCAAACACATAAAACCTGGTAAATAGCTGGACTAAATGCAGGCAGTTGTGAGTTTGGATTCTTCTTGCAAAGACAATGCAAGCAATTATTTTTTTTTCACCACTTTTAAAAAAGGTACAGGGGTGAAAAAAAGTGCTATTTCATAATAGATTCAATGAGAATTGTCACAGCGAACGTTATGAAATGGCACATTGTTCTACCCATCCCTTTGGAATTGAAATCTTCAGACCCAATCTTTGTGCTGAAGATTTTTACAGCCTGTCTTTAAAATAAATGGAACACTGCGATGCCTCCATAACAGGTACAATTGAATCTGCCTTGAGATGTCACAATTTGTCACCCTCACACTTAACGGAAATGTGCTTTGCGATAAAGAGAAAAAAATGTGAATTCTGGAAATCTGAAACAAAAACAGCATCTGCTTGATCAGCAGCTGTTGTTAATGTTCAGAGGAAGTATTGCAGTTAGAATTGGATATAGCGCCTGTGTCAGCTCAGACAATCACAAACATCCCAATGAATTTGCAGGTTGATTGAAAATGAAATAACAACACGTGGAGCTACCTACCTGCTGGAGTCACTGGAAGAAAATAGAGCTATAGAGGAGATCTGGTAAGGCTAAAATTTCAATAAGTTATTCCATTGCTTCAGTGACCTTAGGATGATTCATCCATCACTGAAATTGAAAGGCATAAAATAACTCATTAAATTGCCTGAACGAGGGTCAGGAATTCGCCAAGACTCACGTGCCTTCATTTATATTCCCTATCGTGAGTATTCTCCCTCCTCTCCAATCCCCTCTACGTCCCACCCACCAAGGCAAATGTTGCACGATAAAATGTGGGTTAATTTTCCTCAGAGGAAACACAAGTATAATGTACCACCAGACAACGACAACAACAACAAAATCATTAGTCTATCCACTGAGGCGAGATGGGGGTGTGGGTTGGAGATCAAGAGACAGCAAAGAATTGGACTCGAGAATCAGAATTTCCATCAGCTTTATTCATAGATGATGGATGACAATATTCTTGGGGTGGGGTGGGAGGGTTTGAGGGTCGGTCCCCTTTAAGACAAGTGAGCCACTGGCTTGACAGACAGGTCCACCCGCTAAGTAGAGGTGAGGTGAAGAACGATTGGGAGGAGGGGTTGAGCCCCCTCTAGCCCTAGCCACCTGCTAACTGTTTTTAGTTAGGGCAGTGCCAGAATGACCAGACACAAAAGCTGGTACATGCCTATCTTCCCCCAGTCACTGTCAGTTGCTGACAATCATATCATCATGAATACCCAAAGGCCCAATCCAGCCGGTGCTGTGTGTGAGCTGGTTGCTAACTCCTCTAGACAGCGCTGGGGAGGTTTCAAATTGCCATTACTTGTTTTCTATCCTGTTATAATGGGACCGTTCAATCATTGCCTGCCCCTCTTGTATTCACGACCAGAATCACTGTTTAACAGCTGTGTGAAGAGCAGCTGCTTCCCTTTAGATCAGGCAACAAGTTTAGCCATTGCTTTTGGATTGGGATTGGGGAAGGGAGGGAGCGAGATAAAGGCAGACTGGAGAAGAGGAAAGAATCCTTCCTCATATCATGTACTGAAAAGAAAGATAACCAATTGTAAAATTTTGTGCCATTTCCTTTCAGCCTAAAGAATAACAGAATCCCCACAGAAGACATTGAGATTCTTGTAAAAGACAGACGCATCAGAATCTAGATTCCTCCAGGAACCCCGTGTTTCAAATCTCCTGGAAACTGAAGGATTTGACAGGAATGATAGGTCATTTACAGCACGATAAACACCTGCCTGTATATTGGGATTAATAAAGTATGTTTACACACCTCAAAAATGTGCATGTTGATTGTGGCCATTATAATAATTCTTGAAATTGACTCTTCACATGGGGAGGACATCTCAAATCTTCACAGGATATACAGCTAGGCTGTTAATCATTATTCCCCAGTAGTGCCTTAATAGCCTCATCTTAATAAATGATCAGAAAGGGTTGAGAGGTGTTTAGTCTGATAAAGATCTCAAAACCCTTATTCACACATTTGTCACCTCCCGGCTCTATTATTCCAATGCCCTCCTCGCCAGTCTCCCCAGCTCAACCATTCATATAATCCAATTAATTCTAAACTCTGTCATCCATATCCTCACACACATCAAAAATCCCCAATCACCCCAGTCCTTGCCAGGCTCCACTGGCTCCCTATTGCAAAATGGATCAATTTCAAGATCCTTACACACACCGACAAATCGCTTCATGCCCTAATATCTCCCTACCTCTGTGAACTGCTTACACCCCTCTTCACTACCTTCGCTCAGCTGGCTCTAGCCTCCTGCACGACCATCATCCCCAACGCTCCATCGGCAACCGTGCTTTCAGCCACTAGACCCCAAAAGTATGGCAGTTTCTTCCTCAATCCCACCACCTTCCACACCTGAAGACCTTCCTCTTCGATTGTGCCTAAAGTCAACTCCCCCTCTCCCCAGCTTGGCGCCAAGGCTCCACCATTTTTTAAGCGCTCCAAGATGCTACCCTGCATGAAGGCCGCTACATAAATGCAACTTGTTGTTATAAAACAGTTCATTAACTTGTAACAAAGACAGTGCCACCGATTGCCATATCAGCACATCAACATCAACAGGCTGCACAACAACATGTTGCCAGGGTGTGAGCAGCATTCAATCTCTTGCGCTTGACTGATTGGAAACTAAAGAGCTGAGTTCGTTCTGGCTCCTCTTCTTCTACAATTGGCTGTTTTCAAGAGGATCATCCAGAGTACATTAGAAATGCATTAATCTCTGCAAAACTACAACTGCTCTTTGAAAAGGGTACCCAGCCTCCTAACTTTCAAATGCACTTATGTTTGTTGCTGCTAATTCCAACTCATCCATTGAATAATTCTGACAGGAGATAGAACAGGGGAAAAGACAGACAACATTGAATAAAATCTCAGCAACGTGGATATTGTCTCAAAAGATTTATTACATACATCTGTACATATTTTACATATATGGAATGTTATTACACTGATGGCCATAATTCTTTAAAAAAATAGTTCTTGCTCATCTATGAAGCATCAACCCATCATAATTAACCCAGTATAACTTGTCAAGAGATTTTTCTTTGAATCAAATGCAAATCTGTATCATTACAAAATTTACAAACAGCATTTTAAATAGTGAGCTGTTTCAGATCAACCATTGTGTAGCATGAGTTCTTGATTTACGCTCTGGTTATTGCAGTTCTAGGTAAGGAACACATAGGTCCATGACTGTCCAGTGCAGATAGTCTGCAGTCGACATTGCATTTTTCACAGCCATTCTACAAATGACAAACCTTGCAAGATGCTTTACGTTCATTTATTTTAAAATCCAACCCATGTAAGTCAGACTATTGCTTTTTATTGTGTTCAGGTAAAATATTTATGGAGGAAAACTAAAAAGTCCCACAGAATTGTTACAAACATAAAATAAAACAAGCACTTTATTAAGCACTTGGAAGTGCACTGAATTTCTTTCAGTATTGTAGATTTCTGCATAGTATATTGAACTAGGACTGAATGAGTTTTACATCAAGGCCCTCTCACCCTGTCTTCCAAACACTGTGACGTAGTAATGATTTGATAATGTACCATGGCTTTTTTTTAAAATCAACTTCATTACAAAATATACCGAGGACTCAGGCTGGTACTTCAGGACATGTAAATTGTCCGAGGGCTTGGGTGAAACTCATTGTGCTCACAGCAAGATGTTTTTAAACACCTCTCGTGCTCTCTCCATCATTTGTCTATAATGAGCACAGAAAGGGTACTCATGAATCAGTTTGTCACTTGACTTTGCAGAAGTCAAATTTAAACCAATGCTGACTATCTATGGACATTCAACAGAGATTCTACACCAAGCACCAAACTGAGGAGAAACCACCTCCTAACACAGCCCAGGGATTGGGATAAAAACTACGGAAGGATAACTTGCTGCCCCACACAGTGAAGGCATGTCGGAGTATCCTGTATTATGCACAGACTACTAAAGTAGATAATAATCAATGCAGTGGAGATTGACAAGGTGGCAAACATGAAATGGCATATAACTGAGCTGGTCTGAGTATTCACTCTTTGCACCACAGACAATGGAGACTTGAGTGTGCATGGCTTCCCAAACTTTGAAAAACAGCAGTAAACTTTTACTTCTCTTGGGGAGGGAGGGAAGAGGTACTAAGGGATTAACAGCGGAATGACGACCATGTCCAGTCCTATCCATTTAAGATTATCTAGCTGTCTTCCGGGGGCACACAATGTAACCATTGGAAGGAGGTGTCAGTCATGGCAACAACTTACATTTTTGTAGCACCATTCACATGAAAGCTCTCAAAAACACTTTACAGACCATAATCTTTGCATTTGATAGAGTGCCCTATCATGTCGTTGAGACGTCTCAAAGTGCTTCACATAATATATTGTAAAGTGAATTGACTGTTAAGTGGACCAATGAGGCAGCCAATCTGGGCCGGATGAATAGTCAATTGATTTAAAATTTGGGGTGAATTTGGATAAAGAGAGTCCACAAATAAAGATAAATGGGAGTTTTTAAAATAATGTTGGGGGTTTTAACGTCTACCTCTAGGTATTATTTGCAATGTTCAAAGTATAAGAAGCCGGTTTCTGATGTAAATCTCTACTAATCTTTCTTATTAATGAAGCTAGTGTCCCAACTCTTTGTGTAGCTATGGTTTAAAAATGAATGGCACTGGCTTGGCATAATATTTAACACAGTGTCGAGCGACACACTCAAAACATGCAAATAATTACGAGACATGAACAACAACAAATTACATTTGTATAGCGCCTTTAACGTAAAGAGGACATCCCTAGGCGCTGGAGGCTGAAGGGTATATACTGCAGTATATGAAAGGTAACATGGGAAAATAACCTTTCTGTACAACAGATTGAGGCAAACTGACAACCTCCTTATGCAAGATGAAATTGTACCTGGGGATCCACCAACCAAGAGAAAAGTATAAAACCCAAGTAAAAATAGCACACACTTACTAACAGGAATTACTTAATGAATAGATTCAGTCTCATACCAACCTTCCCACCCCCAACCCCAAGCACCAACGCTAAGTGGGTTAAATAGACCAGGTCCACAAATGACGAGAATATTCCCTGCATTGAAACAAGTCCACTGACAGCATGGAAAGGGATATTAAATAGAAACCCGTACAATCATTCATGTCAATGTTGCGCAGTGATATCAGATTTTCTCCCAACTAAAATGGGCTCCACATCTCGCTGAGCAAAGCAACCTTTGATGGTTAGGAACCTTCAATTTGCTACTTTATAACAACAATAGAGTTTCAAGTTACAAAATACTGAGCTGAACCTTGAATATTCTGACTTTTTCGTGTTGTTGATGCATCTGCCACTGTAACACACACCTCACAATACACTAACTTCTTAAGGATCCTTAAAAACAAGGTGCAAGGCAGGCTGAACATAAATTGCACCAACCTCTTTATCAAACTAGGCTGTCAAATCATAGTTATCTGGACCTTTCTATGACTTGCTTAGCTTCTATTATGACAATAATCCTTGCATCTGATATAGCACTTTATGTTATCGCAGTGTCTCAAATGCTTCACAGCACGTTTAGTGTAAAGTGTAGTTTAGTGTGTATCAGTAGAAGAATGGTGGGCAAATCAGATGGGGAGAGAAAGAGAAGGGAAGAGATGGCAAAAACTTTAGAAAGTTCAACTTTAAGGCACGTGAATGTTTTTGCTTCCTTTTAGAAGCAAATGTTCAATTATTTTTAAAAAGTGCATTACGTTCTCTGCTGATGGCTCAGTGTATTTATTCAGTGAGCATCTAAGCCATAAAGGCCATGAACCAGTAAGATCATAGCTTTGATGCTCCTGATCTGTGCTGATTTAGCTATGTGTGATACTAGATGTTCTACAATAGATCTCAAGGTCCTGGGTTAGGATGGGGCATAAAAATCATCTAGTTTCTGTTTTGATCACTATTCAGCTGAATCCTGCTGGAGGTCACAAGATGGAGACTGGGTGAGGACAGGATAGTGGTTTCCTGCGATGACCTCCTGCTTCCTTTGTGAATTTGATCACAATTTAAAACCAAAAAGAAACTTCCAGACAAGAGTTCAGTACACACACATCATGGTTTGTACTCTCTGCCTTTCAGAATCCAATATCTTAGTACTCAACTGTTCTCAACTAAGTGGCACAATGCATTAAAATATAAGCGAGGCTAGAAATGTTCAAAATGCAATGAGGTCCATGATAAAACCTAACTCTGGCAATGCACATTAATGCACACATTTCTTGCCTTGTTTTTCGAGATAAGAGCTTTGTACGATTTTGTCACTAAAACAAATTAGGCTCTGCTGTCAATGACTTCCTGGAATAAACAAAACTCACTGACAAAGAACATCCATTGTGACACTTAAATGCACTTTGGGCAACAAATTGCAAGCTGGGAGACTGATAGATAGATCAATACTATTTCCTTTGGTCAGGCATTACATTCACAGTCAGCTTTTGTTCTGTTCCTTACTCTCCCACAACAAAATGGTTCGCAGCAACTTTTTGTAAAGAAAATAGATACAGAAACCTTATTCAAAATGTGATCTGCAGAAAATGAAGCTTCCTGGAAGAAGATGGGGGAATGTAAGCAATGTCCTACCTGGAGCTTGAACTGACTCTGAGAAGACACAATAATTCTTATTAAAATTTAACATTCAATTATTTACTAATTTTCTCCCCTTGGCATTTGCCTCTAGTCCTTTAACCCTTCTGGGCTGCATTTTCAGGGGCACCAGTTGGCCTCTGTGAACCCTCCCAAACAATAAATAACTTGACAGAAGACGGCGTCACAGCATCTTCCCATCCAGCCACCACACACGTCAACAACAACTAGAGAGTGCTACAAAGAGAGCAGGACTAGGAACCCTGGCTAGCTTTCCCGCCCTACCCCTGGCAAACCCCAGGCCAATTTGTCCCTCTACCCGACCTAACCCTATCCCGCAGGCCTGACTGGTACCGACAAACTCAGCACATGGAATTTGAACCAGCGAGCTCCCAGTCCATGAGCTTCTACTCTAACCATTGCCCAACTAGTGCTGCCGTGACATATAAATTCAAAGCTGGGTTGGATATCAAAGACAGTAAAATTGCTATGCTGTTGGACGAGAGCCAAACGAGAGAGTTTCAGTTTTGTAGGCGTTGAGCTGAGAGAATAGTCCTCCAGGTCTTGATCTTTGACAGACAGTTGGACAGAATAACAACAGTCCTATAATTGAGAGTGGAAGTTGAGAGGCAGGGCTGTGTGTTATTGGGCATACATGTGGAGAGAAGAGAAAGGGGAAAAATAGAAATTATGCCTATTTTTATAAAATAAAATTGACTTATGGCTAATTCAGTAAGCTTACTGCATTACTGTGACAATTTAACTCTTGCTCCTGCAACAGAAGCTGAAGATGGTCACCAGCAAAGCCACAGTACTTGACCATAACTTTTCAGAAAGTTGTTCTGCCCTCTGTTATGTGTTTATCAGTGTTTATTTCTTTAGAAACCGAGCAAAGCGCTAAGGTCCCTAGTGCAAAAAATGAGTTAGCTTGAAAAAAGAGCAGAGATGAGATAAATTGAGCAATCATGGTAAGATGACGTCCGACTTTGTTTTATACACAAGACACATCACACAGCAAAGGTGCATTCAGTAACAATATCGAAGGCATCAGAGAATTAAGTTAAAACTAGAATATATTAATATTATATTACTATGTAATATATATTATATATTGATGGCCCGAATCACGTCCTCCTGTGCTGAAAATTTGTTTTCTACATCGTAGGATTTGTCCTGTCATTGTGATAAGTTAACTGCTGGAATGAACTACATGCATGAGTGATTTTATTTTCCCACTGTGCACCTGTTCCTGGCAAAGTCACCAATTCATTTTTGTCCAACTAGAGAGATTAGGTTTAGAAACATTCCTCCTGATAAAATCCACATTTATAACATTGTCCTGGATAGGTACAGAAGTGTGTTTAAGGAGCTCAACCACATGAGGGTTGCAGTAACACTCTTTGGCCTATTGCAATGACCCGATATGCATTGGCCTAAACTATGTCAGAGTGCAGAACAACTGACAGGTCAAAGCACACCGGAAGGCAAACAGGCAAACCAGGCTTTAGGCAGAAAAGAACTGGGATGGATACTGAGAAAAACGACAATGCTGTAAACACACCGGCTAAGATTAATTCTCAACCACGTTTATTATGGTTTTTAAAAAATTTGGACCGAAGTAAATAAATTCTAAAAAGAATGTCTTCCGTCATGTATCATGATCGCATCACCACTTCTGCGTTTTTCTACGTTATCAAAGTAATAATAGGTTATTAATCATTATATTTCATTCGTTTCAATTTTCCAGGTTTGGTTATGAGAAGCTTTGACCTCGGAGGGTGAAGACGAGGAGACGATTCCCTGAATCTGGACTGAAACATTCTCAATTAACCAATTGCTTTTCACTCTCTGGTGGCTGGGCAGAAAAGACAGACATACATATGTACTTTTTTTTTAAAAAAAAGCTCGGGATAGTTCAGCACTGAGCAGAAGTAGAATTGAATCTCCAGTGTCAACATCAAGCATTCCCAGATCAGGCACAGCCAAATCCAGAGTAATCCTTCCTCCACTCTGCCACAATAATGTGCCTTAACCTCAACCTCAGAAGCACGTCCAAAATGGCATTTCCACTTCTCACTCCATCTGTTCTTATGGCCCCTTTGACTTAGGTTGCCAAACTAATGCTGGCTTGTGGACAGTTTTGTGCTGTGGACTAACACCACAGTTAGATTGAGGCAGGTCAAACTAATTTTACATTGGACCTTACAACCAACAGAGAAGTGGTCTTGTCATCCGCCATCCATCTGAACTGGATTCAAACTCATGTTATGTCCCAGAGATGGAGAGACAGCGTGTAAATCCAGAGCGTCATCTACTTCTTCAAGGGCACTTCAAAAGAATTTCACATTTTCACGGAAAGATAGTTTGATCATAAGGTTCCCCAAATTACCTCATCAGTGAGCAAAAAGGTGGCCATTCTGACAATCCTCCTTTGTATAACATATATAAGGAACTGAGGTTTAAAAACTGCGGAATCCAAATCCATTTGAAATGATCCATGCTGATTTTCCTTTTTAGCATGTAGTCTGGAAACTGGGTTGGATTAGCAGTGCCACTGTTCATCTGTGTAGAGATGGCTTCAGATTTATGATCTTGGTCTCCATGTTGAGGAGGTCCACACATCCATCATGAGTAGCCATGCTCTCTCTGCACTATAATAGTGCAAAAAAAAGTAAGAAGATGAATATTGGAGATGACAAATTAATCAGTATGTGCATTCAAATCAAAAACATAGAAATGCATGAACTAATTGTCACACAATTAAAACTGACTGTATACAAAAAAATGGAATCCCCGTGTGTCCTTCATTTACATTTGGCACACCAAGTCCGAATGGCTAAGCAGCCATGGGAAGTTTGTCTATTGCTTAAAAAGGAGATGAAGGATGCAGTGTCACTGAATCTGTAGGCATTATTTGTAAAGAACAGAAGACCGGTATCCTATCATCACTGAGGCAGCAGCAAATGATCATCACAATCTTTAAGATTTTCAGCTATTAAGAGTTCAGTCACAGCCTCGCTTTACTTGAAGTCGAGTTATTCCACTGATAAGATAGCAAGAAAACCTGTTGAAGGAACAAAAACAAAATAAGTGAGAAGCACAGTTCAGGAGGGAGGTCTGGCATACCCATACGCCAGTCCAAAATACACACCGTCAGTGTGCAGACTGAGCAGGAGGGTCAACAACAACAATAATAACAAAACAACAACAATATTACTATTATAGAGCGCATTTCACGTCGGGAGGATGTCCCAAAGCGCTGAACAGTCAGGTGTCGGGGCCCGAGCATGAGGGAGGGGGAGGTAGTTTAGGGGTGAGGGAAGGCAGAGACGTGGGAGGGAGACCAAAGGCACGGTCGAAGAGAAAGGTCTTCAGACCGACCTTGAAGGTGGCAAGGGAGGAAGCGAGGCGTAGGGACTGTGGGATGGAGTTCCAGAGTGTGGGGGCAGAGAGGCTGAAAGCCCGGGCACCAATGGTAGGGCGGGTCGGGCGGGAGACATGGAGAAGGTCGGAGCCCGATGAACGGAGGGAGCGGGCAGGTTGGTAGGGAGTCAGCAGGTCAGAGAGGTAGGAGGGGGCAAGGCCATGGAGACTGCCCAAACTAATTCCATTATTTAATGATCGAGACTGAAACAGCCAGCAGATAAGAGATATTCACCCTTAACGAAAGAAAAAGGACATTGTTCTAAACCACCAGTGCAGGAACCACACAGATTAAGACTAAGACTTTCCAAACATCCTGACACATTAATTGCCAATCTTTCCAGCTCATCCCAGATGTGACATATTTTAAATTCTTTTGCAAATCATTTTATGATTGCAGCCTCTTCTGCAACATTTGCTTGATAGCTCTACATTTTAAGAAACTAAGACAGAGGTTCCACATTAAAACGGCATAAATGTAAACCTCCTAATCTACTCAAATGGCAATGGAATAGCAGACAATGCCTGTTGTGAAAAATATACTCAAATCAACCCTTAACAAACAGGAGCATATTTGATAAAAAAAAAAACTTCTAATTACTGTTTGATGTAGTTTGGACTCCGCATTAACAAGCAAATGTGGAATGTATAACTTATATTTTGTGACAGTTTTATCCTGGTAAATTTTGGGGGAATCCTGGATTAATTATGTCAAAAATGGACATGTTTTGTTGGAGCCAACCTTTAACAACGTTTAGTTTGACAGTTTTGCAACATTCTGCAATCACTAACTATTGTCATCCAAGGCAATTTCACTTTGTCTCTTTCACCTCATTAGCCAGAGGAAACAGAATTGGAAACGGAATAAGATTTTGGAAAGGAGGTGAAATTATTCATAGACACCATCACAAATTTGAGACTATCTGCTGTATCTCTTTCAAATGTCCTTAGTAGCCTCGTTCTTACTCACTGCCAATTTCAGATAACTTCAGCTTCACTGCTTCCAAGCTGATTCGACAACATCCACAAATAATCAAGGGCAGACTAACTTGGGCCAACATTAAAACACTGGAAATCACTTCACATGATATACAATGTATTTTGTGGGCGGAATACAGCAGCGAGTTGGTGCACAGCAGTGTCCCACAAACTATGGAGTGTGTAATCAATTCTATACGGGGGGAGTGGTTGTTGGCCAGGACACCAGGAGAAACTCCCTTCTCTTTTCGAACAGTGCCATGGGGTCTTTATCATCCACCTGAACAGGCAGATGGGACCTCGGTTCAACACCTCGTCTGAGCAATGGCAGCATCTCCCACAGTGCAGCACACCGCATACCCCACTGCTGTCTGTCCTGAGCTTAACGGGGTTAAGGTGAACACGGTAAGCAGTTCAGATCTTTTATTTTCCACCAATATTCTTTCTTCCTGAAGGTGGTGCAATTTCCTCTGACTGGCAGACAGTTCCACGGGCACTGAACACTCTTGTATCTCACTAAGTGGTAATTCTTTATATACAAGCTTCCACAGCAATTATCAGGAACGCCTCAAGCTCAGATCTATACCTCAAGGTCTCCCAGGAGCAGTGTGGAGCCACGTTCCTTGCTCTGGAATACTAGTTGATCACACATTTGCAAAGAGCTGAAGTCAGCAGCTCAACTTAATGGAGGACTCTACTTACTTATGCACTGGACAGAGCTTCCCGTCTCATTGGCATCGGCAACAAAATCATCATTCCAAAGACATCGCACATGTTAAATAATTAAAGTCAGAACCAATATTACTTTCCGATAAGCCTCCAGTCCCTACAATTAAAAGTGTTAAACTCTGCTCCCATAATCTTTCAATTATATCTGGCTTTCTCAGTTTCAAATATAGCTTTTTTTAAACAAAATGAATACTAATGTTTGCATTCGATATAGCTCCCTCTGCTAAGCAGGCTCCAGCTAGCCTGCTGCACGTCCTCCTTCGAGGCACGTCTCAAGACGTACCTCTTCACGCCTTCGGTCACCCTCCTACCCTTGCCCTCCACCCCTCCTGATCCCAAACCCCTGACTCTCCAGAACCCTGGGACAAGCTCACAATGTGAAAGACGCTAGACAAATGTAATTTCTTGTTGTCTCAAAGTGCTTCACAGGATTAACTGAAAAGTACAGTGACTGTGCTCTGTAGGCAAATGTGGGCAGGCAAATTGTACACAACAATGTCCAACAAACAGTCATGAAGTGACTGTTTTTCCCCAATTGTACATTGTAGAAGGAATGTAACATAAAGCAATATATATTAAACTACTGATAACTTGTCACTCCAATGAAAAATGGCTCAGTGATGAGGTATCTGGAGTGGCGAGTTAGGCATATCTGTAAATACATAAATAATTGCAGCTGGGATATTGACAGCCTGGTGGCTTAAGTGGTAGGGACAAGTTAAGGCAGAGTTGAGTTATCAGGAGTTTACTATAATACTGACTCACAAATAAACACATTAAAGTTACCCTCAGCCCCTCCCGTTCTTACGTTCACTTCAAGTAAATAAAGAGCCAACTAATCTGCTCCACAACCTACAGTGGTAATTATGGCTCTTAGTTTGTGAGTGGCAGCACTCTCAGGGTTACAACATCAACAATTGAAATAATATTCAGATAAATGATAATCTGCCTGGATTTGAGAGGATGCTGTGAAACTAGGTTTTCAATGGCCTTCAAGGGAGTTTTTACCTCTGGGGAGCAGAGCGGGTCATGTCATACAAAAGCGAATTATACAAATGCTATCATCATTAAAAATGTACTGATATAAACCCGCTGGTAAAAATATTCAAATGTAAATTGTTAACAAAATAATGAGCAATTCACAAGTCACAGCCCTGACAGCAAATCTGCCACTTCAATTACAAAAAAGCCCTCCTTCAGCTGTTCACCGACTTCAGTTTGACTGGAAAACTATGTTAGTTAATGTTAGCTACACAACAGAAATTCAAACCCTCAGATCATCACATATACTGTCACATTAATTTATCACAAAGGCATGATACGATTGCACCTAGAACTAGACCACTATACTTATTGTAGCACATTCATTGTCTATATTCAAGCACCAGTTCAGGACATTAAAAATCTCTACCTTAAACCAACCAGTGGTCTGAGGGTCTGGAAGTGGCCCGAGGATGCCATCAAGAAACAGTCGCCTATCCCAACCACCCCCACCCACCCCCGACCGTTCGCACCAGTCTATGGCATAAATCAAAAAATATTCAATCGAGAAACTTTATTTTGATTTTGTTGGCTGACCATAAAAGTTGCCCACCACTGCCTTAAACTGAACAAAGCCTTCATCCCACTCACTGTTCTCAGGGTTACCTCCAACTCTATCTCTCCGCCTCTCTCCTCAATTCCAGGTCCATTTGATTCCAGTCACATCTGACCGACTGCCTGTCAGACGTGAAGTCCTGGATGAGTTCTACCTTTCTACAGCTAAACATCAACAAGACGAATGCTTTCCTGCTTGGTTTGCATCAGTGCCTTCTCACCTCAGGAGCTGATTGCATCACCCTGCGCCTGATACTCACTCGACCTTGCAGAGCTGGTGAGGGACCTTGTCGTTGAGGGTGAAGCTGCCCTATTAAACTATATTGAGACTCAAGGGAGAGACTGGCTGGTTACTCAGAGTTACCCTTACTGCCAGGGTAGGGTGCAACTACAAATAGGCATAAAGTACTTAACCCAGAAACACTGCCCAATAATCTGTAACCTTTGCGACCATTACCAGAAAATGGTTTAACATCCATATGATGCCTTTATCTTTAAAACGTTAACTGCTTTTCAATGGAGTTACAGCTGACATTCATTACATGGAAGATAATTTCAGGTCCCCAGCATTTTGCTCCAAAGCACAGGAATTTACTGAGTGCACCTATACACAGAGCAGATTGTTGAAGGCACTGAGCAATCCTCTTAGTGTTTTGGCTACCAAAGGCATGCGATCCCCCATGGAATTTCAGATTATAAACCATTCCACAAATTTCATTAAAAAGCTTTCCCCCTGACTGCAGCCACTGGGAATGAGTTATGCCTCAGTTCAGTGGCAGTCAAGCAGGTAAAACCAATCTAGACAATAGAACGATAACAAGGAGACAGGCTTTTGTGGAGAAGAGTAATAAGGACATTACCTATAGAAATGGCAAATGCACGCTTCAATCCATCCATTAATCGGAAGGGTGCTCAGGACAGGACCTATTCACTTCGAACCAAGAGTCTATGCATCTGGAGAAAAACAGAAGGCCATGTTATTCTTGTATCAGATCTGCACATGCAAGACCCAGTATGAAGGAAAAGCCTCCTCATGCGTTAATAAAATGGGTTACATAGAATTGGGACATTTGGGCTTCCAGCATCAGAAAAATAATCACGTCTTTAACAAAATGGTATAATTTTATACATCAAAATGCTTCAGATTTGTAAATCATAAAGTGAGCAATTGAGATACTAACTTCGTGCTTATGAGCCACAGTTACTGGTTCGAAGGAGCAGCACATACCCTATCTTCTAGAAGAGCTCTCTCTTTAATCAATAGGTGTGCGAAATTAGATATAATTCAATTCCCCTACCATTTCCCTTAACTGTAGATTAAAAGTTGAGAAAGGTTTCTTGACAGGACTAACATTTCAATCTATTTATGGTATGAGATAATTTCCCAGATAATGTATATTATACTATAGCAGACTGGGGCATCTGTCAATATATATTGATGCCCCGAGAGATAGCTCTAGAGGTTGAAAAAGACTTTAGATAAAGATCCTACCAAGTAATTTCCCTACTTTGTCCTTTTCTATACTTGTATCTTCTCTTTCTCTATTCTGTTAGGTTCAACTTGTCTCCCTTTACCCAATCTCCTGCCAGTTCCTGCTCCACTATCCTGTCTGCGGGTGGCAAAGTAACCTTACTCCGAAGCTCTCTCCCAACATGGGAATGAAACCAGTCATTAGCAGCTGCCAGAATCCATTTGGCTTCAACTTTTCCCTACTTCCCTTCCTGTGGGGTAAATATTTCCAGGAGACCATCTGAGATTAGCATTGTCAGCCAGTTACACTGTTCTAACTCTGAATAACTGCTGCAAGCTTTGGACTGACATCTGGAGTGGCTTGGGGAGGAAAACGCATGTTGGGCTTCAAAGTAGGCACAAGCCGTTTAAACCTAGTGGTTACACACTTTCCGTCATAAGTTAATGCAAAGGAAACTCTTCCCCCCCCAGCACCACCAAAAAGAGCAGCACATTGAAAAGACAAATTAAGTGTGAAGGCTCTGACTGTGTGATTTTGCCAGTGCCTCTAATGTAATCAGGTGAACCAACGACTCTCTGGCCCTGTGCCAAATATTCCACCTCCGATAAGAACCTCTCCCCCTCCCCCACTCAACATCTGCCCAACAACAGAGATCATTTATTTGCCTGTGCATCAGTGTGACAATGTGATCAACTGCATTTTTAATACACTCGCTAAATCAGAGCAGCGTCAACCAGACGCGGATTAAAAATAAGTCATTCATTCACTTATATGAACCATTTTATACACAGCATGGCAGGCCCAAACCTTCCATACTGCACACACTGAAGCAGCATTATCACCCAAATTAACTCTGTGTAATCGTACACGTATGAAACAAAACAACTTGCATTTATATAGCATCTTTCATATAGGGTAACAACTCGAAGTGCTTCACAGATGGTCAGAAAGATCAGTTTGGATATAAACAAGACCCTACAGCCCATCCGATCTCATCCTTCCAGAACATCCACCCTACCATCCTCCCAACACAGCATTAGGCTTTTTTCTCAAAGGAGTCCCATATGGCTTCTCACAGTCAATTTGAGGCACTTCCTCAAAGTGGAGTATGAGTCCTCAAGCAGAGAGGGTGGGGGAAGAGGCAGATGACTAAAGATATAGTTAAAGATATAAGTTTTCAGGAGGCTTGTAAAAGCAGATAGGAATCAAGGTAGAGGGACAAACAACAAAAATATGCACTTATGTAGCACCCCAATAAGGGTGCCCTGCATGGAGATTGAAAGAAAAACTGAAATGTTAGAAACCCAAAACACATCAAATTGCTTCATAAATAATCTACATCTAGATCAGGGGTCGATCCGGCAACCTTTTTAGTCTGTATGATTCAGTTCCACACGGAGCAGGGGAAGTTTCTCCCTCAACAATCTAGGCTTCCCGAGAGCATAACATAGAATAGATGTGATAGAGACCTTTAACATCGGTAGGATGCCCCCAAAGCTTGTTCACAGTGTTAGATGGGCATCCGAGCTGGACTGGGAGCCATGGGGAGGGGAAGGATAACTGAAAGCATGGTCTAAGAGGTACGTTTCGAATATAGGGAATAGCACTGTAAATGCACTTTGGGACATCCTCTTAATGGGAAAGGTGCTCTATAATGTCTATTCTATTTTATGCCCTAGCAAACGAACTTCTCCAGATTGTTCAGCTAGAAAGTTCAGCTCTGATAAAGTAATTTCCGGATACCTCGTCACTCCAATGGCGAATTATCCGATGTGACGACTGTGCCATAGGTCCTCACCTTGTATTGAAAATAAGAGTGGTACAACTTCTATTCTTGGTAGATTAGCTACATGGTATCAATATTGTACTCTGAGTCATTCCTTGCTCGTTACCAGATAAAAATAAATTGGTTTTACATAACACGGGTATTTATATTGATCAACTACCAGCTATGATGTTGCCGGTTCAGTGTATACTGTTCTACCTGCTTATGTCGACATGTCCAGGACCATTCAAATTTTGTCAACTTAAGCGGATTGTCGACATAAACGGATGAACAACCCAGACAGTGGCATTTTGGTTAAAAATTGCTGAAGCATTTATTTACATTTCATATACAATACTGTAATTAGAAGCATTTATTTACATGTATTTCATATACAATACTGGAAGTAGAATTGCTATACCATTTATTTACAAATATTTTATCCACTCCCATTACAATTTCTGTACCTTTACTGTATTTACATGTATTCTCCTCAATTCATTTTATTTAAAAAGACGGTCATTTAAGAGTACACTGTTTCATGTGTGACACTTGTTCTTTTTGGATTAGTGCTTGTAGCTTGTCCAAATACTGCTTTGTTCATTTCTTTCAATGGCTTCAATTGAGCAAAAATGTCTGCAATCCTTCACACATGCTAAATGCTTCTTTGCACGTCACATGCCAAATACTGTCAAAATTGGATTGTTTTCAGGTTCCTCGGCTTTTTGTTGGCTGTTGTCTTGACCCTGCTTTACTGAGGCAGATGATACCTTCATCTGCCAGTGCTGCAGTGCCCTGCTTATTTGCATCCACATTAACAGCAAGAGCTATGAACTCTTCTTTTTGCAGGCAAAGAGTGTCATACAGCACCTGATCGCCAAGAATCTTCTTTAGGACTATCAGCTGTGATTCACAGAAGGCATCATCATGTGGGTTGCAGAAAAAAGCATATATAAAGCAATTATGAATTGTCTTGTTTTACCAATTTCCAGGCTTTTTTACAACGATGCAAGTCTCCCATTAGGTTTTCTGTAAACTCTTCCTTGGCCTCAAAGGCTATCAATTTTCTATGAGCTAAACATTTTCAGTAGAGCTACTTAAGATTTTGAATAATCTATCGATCCATTGGCTGGATTAAGAATATGGAATTGGGAGGCAAAAACACCAATTTAAGATTTAAATTTTAAGATAATAATCCTTGCATTTTGATATAGCATCTTATCATGTCTTAAGAAGTCTCAAGGCGCTTCACAGAATATACTATTAAGTGAATTGACTGGATTTTGTTGGGGCGAAACTCGTTAGCCAATTGCGCACAGCAGTGTCCCACAAACAGTCGTGGATTGAAGTGACCAATTTATCATTTTTTTTTAAGGAATTATTACCCAAGATTCGCCAATCGACTAACAACTGGGTTCCTACTTACTGCTAGGTAAAACAGAGGTGTGTGGATTAAGGAAACTTGCCCAACATTTCACCCTGCCGGGAACTGACCGCAGATCTCTTGCTTGCGAGGCGAGTGCTCTAACTGCTGAAATACAAGTTATGTAGAGTAGTTACTGAGTAATAATGCTACTTTCCAACCAAGCATTGTCATCTTGCAGTTTAGGTTTGAACCCATTTGAAAATATCAGATGTCGTCCAGGCTTTGGCATTGGCTTCATGATCGACTGATAAACGTTTTAAGTATCATGAGTTTTTTGACTTTTCTATTATGAGAAATTGTAGGTTATCAGTTCCAGTCGTGCTGGCAGTGACCGTAATTGAAACATAAGTCTTTAGGTGGTTTATCCCAGTACAGGGTTGTCCCTCAATGCAGTATTTTTTTGTCCGGGGTACACTTAAAAAACAAGGTGGTTTTGTCCGCGTTACAAATACGGTCCAAATTGTAGTTCTACAGAATTTCCTGACACCCCTACTTCCACTCCTCGAAGCAAGAATGTCGGCAGACTTACCCTCATGGCAAATGTTTTTGTATACCAGACCGTGACGAGCTTTGAAGTGACTAAAACCACCTATTGCTAGAGATGAAATTTTCCACACCTGCCTGATTGTCCTTCTCAAAAAAAATGTCACAATCAATTGTGATGGTGGGATTTTGGGCGAGTTTTTCTTTAAGCCCCGTGGCTAATCCTTCCTCGACATCTTCACATTTGTAGCTTTTCTTTATCTGTGATGACTATGACCCACTTTGTCCTCGGCCTTTATTACTCACCCTTTAGAACTCCATCCCACTCTCCTTTCAACTCGTTCCTTCCCTTGCCTCCTTCAAGGCCCGTCTGAAGACCTTCCTCTTCGACCGTGCCTTCGTTCACCCTCCTATGCCTACCCTCTCTGCCCTCCACCCCTCCTGATCCCAACCTCCAGCTCAGATCCAAAGCCCTCACTATCTATAACGCCTTGGGACATCCTTCTGACGTAAAAAGCACTATACAAATATAATTATTGTTGTGCATTAGGTGACCTTACATCCCCGCCAAAATTGCTCTGTCTAGAGTTCAGCAACAAACTGAGCAAGAACAATAAAATTCTGAAACAGATACACTCATCAGAGAAATACAGCCATTAATCCATTAAGTTTCTCCAGTATTGCCAGCATCAGGAATTTTGGTGAGTTCAATTTTTTTTTATGCATGTCCCTGAATTTGGATTACAAAATATGGTCACCCCACCTTTATGCAATCAGCAAATTTCAACTATGTAGCGTGTTCACAGAGAAGGTTTTGCGGATATTCCGCTCTCAATTGCTCTGACTGTGCGATATTTATTCTCCAGCATTTTCCATTCAAGTTTCAGTTTCGTTCCAGTCGCGGTATCCACTGTGGTACAAAGGGCACTCACACCGTGGTTGCTTTATAGGCCTAATTAGCCTAACACATGTCATAGCCCACACACATGTCACACACACTCATGTACAATCACTCATTGCAGGCACACGCCACACTCACCCAATCAATCACTCACTGACTCATGTGCCACACGTGAGAAAAAGGCCCTGTCGACATAAGTGGTAACAACACAACGCACGTGGTACTGTTAGGGACTTTGTCGTCATAAGTGTGCCAAAGTTTATGTTCAAATGAACATACACGATAAGTTTAGTGTGTTCCTATGCAAGGAAGGGATCGGGGTTTACATTTTTTGTCAACATAAGCGGGACGTCGATGTAAATGGGTTGAAGATACTTGGGTAGGATTGTATCACAGGAAACTACTCAACGCCGCTCTCTCTCTTGCATGCTCCGTCAGACACTGTGTCTGAGCATGGTCGCCCTAACATCCGCTGAGCACCAGTCACAGGATAGATAGGGAGGGAGGGCCTCTGCCATGCCAGGCACCATCTTAATAGTTACCCGATCAATCTTACATTGTAAGTAGTTACAAAGAATTTCTAGAATGTGACGAGTTACAGGCTAAGCAGAGAGATGAGTAAAGCGATGTCCCTTGTTAATATTTTGCATGCGAAGCAGCCAGGATATTGACAACACGACAATTTAAGTGACAGTGACGAGTTAAGCCAGGGTTGAGTTATTCAGACTTTACTATATATACTATATATATTATATTGTAATATATATATGTTATATATATAATGTCACATATTTGATGACTAATTTAGTCAGCACTCAATTTCACAGGGAGTCAGAAAGGACATCTGCAATAGTGGTATTTACAAGGGTGTTGGAGGTGAGCAATTGCTGTTATGATAAGGATTCTCTATAATAAAATGTTTGATACTGCCAGTATTTTCACTGGAACTGTTCTTCGTGGGTCTAAGATTTCCCTACCCGCAAATGCAGGTGTTGCAGAGAAAATAAGAGTTGGTTCCGATAAATGCTTACCCTTTATGATATATACATAGACAAGGCAGTCGTGCAATGGTGTCTCCCTGTTGCAGCTCTTCGAGGCATATTGCACATTCCCCAGTGTCTTTACTCAGCACATCCTCTGAGGAGATAAAACAAAGGTCAAGGTTACAAAAAGGAACCGTAGGTTATTAACATAATCGTCATTATGCCCAGGGGAATGGTGGCAGCACACTTAGATCAGTGATCACTGAGAAACTGCTCTGCCAATGGCTCTTCGCTGCACACCTTCCAACTCGAGACTCCATGACGACTCTAAAGAAGTACAATTTACAAGGCTCAGAAGAGACACTTTCTTCTACTGCCCCAAAGGATGCAACGTCCTGAGTGTGAATATGCACATCTATATCTTGGTTTTGTTCTCTCTCCGTCTATATATATCTATATATACATAGATATATATACATACATAGATATCAATTCTGGCTGCTAGCCATTAGACTTGTGTGCAAAGATATGTTTTCACTGTACAGGGAATCTCATTATAGCGCCTTCAATACTGTGCTTTTTCATTTAACCCTACTGCGAACCTGCACTAATTGAAAGAGCGTCAGCAAAGGGATTTTCAGCACCACCCCTGATATCAAACTGAGAGTAACAATTGTTTATTCTTCCCTAACTCTGCTTCCACCTGCTCGATCTTCATTAACAATTATTAGCGAAACTTTTCTATCCAAATGGGGTGTGTTTAACCTCTCTCTGATATGTTATGGAAATGAAAGGATAATCAGCAGTGTATTCAAAACTATTATTTCCCTCCTGAACAATTGCTGATTCATAGTCTTTCCCGAGGGTCAATAAGTACTCAGATTTCAATGTGTACTGTCCTTGAAAAGGATTATACAAAAGAAAAATAACATCTCGACGGGGAGCTAAATTGCTGGCACAAAACCAGAATGCAACAACTGGGATTTAATTAAATTAGGGGGAAATGTTCTGGAAGAGAGGAAAAAACTGAGGTCTGCCATTGATCAGCAGAGGATGACAAATGTTGGAATACTGTATGAAGTGCAAAAACAGAACTAAAACAGAAGGAAATATTAATAACATCAATAGCAAAAAGATCAAAGAAAATATACAAAAGCAAAGGCAGTGAGTCAGGCAAGGAAGTTATGAGGGAACCATAATCATCATATACATACTGTAGATATATTACATATCAATATATTATCTACACATTTTATTTATATTCACACACATCCGCGAACATAAATGTCAGAAGCATTCAAAATAAAACAAAGGAGTTAAAGGTATTGGTGACAACCAGTAATATAGGCATCACAGAGACATGCCTAAACCAAGATGGTGGAAGTGAATACAACTTTTAAGTGTGTAGAATATTTGGGAAAGACAAGAGGTGGAAGAATCGGAGAGGCTGCCAGGCCGGATGAACTGTACTCAGGTTACATGGAGGGAGATATCTATAACACCCAGGCAGTCGTCTTGAGGAGGTGAATAAAACTGGTTATGTTCTGACATACTAGAAAGAAATGGTGTAGTCATAAAATTAGCTTGGTGGAAATTAAAGTTTTGAGCTAGGTTCACCAGGTGTCTGTGCTGGGACGCCTTCTGTTCCTAGTATATGTTATTGCGCATGAAGAACGCTCTATAAGTCCAGTTGTTATTGTGGCATATATAAGGCCACCTGGATTGCTAGTCTGACAAGTGTAAAGTAGCAACATTTACAGTTGATTTGAGCTAGAGGGAGAGCGGGAAGAAAGAGCGGAGAAGAGTTAAGAGTGTAAAATTATAAGAAAAAGCCAAGATTTAACAAAGAAAGCTCAACAAGCATATACCTGGGCCGATGACTAGCAAATAAAATTCAATACATGCAGTACAAAGTACCGTATATTGAAAGTAACAACACAAGCCGTGATTATTCCGCCGATGAGACTTAGCTTGCTAAAGGGGAAACTGAAAGAGGTGTTAGTGTGCTCATCATTCACTATAATTATCCTTATTAATAATCCTTCCATTTGACACAGGGCCTTATCACTATCACAGACGTTGCGACATCTCAAAGCGTTTCACAAAATATACTGTAAGGTTGATTGACTATGTATTCTGTGGGCGAAACGTGCAGCCAATTGCATAGAGCAATGGTCCACAAACAGTCGTGGATTGAGTGACAACATTTTTTTTGTTGAGGGATTGTTACCCCTGGAAAGCGATCCGCTAATCGACTAACAACCGGGTTCCTACTTACTTCAAGCACCTGGTGCACTCAGTGAAGATCTGAACTTGACATTGTCCAGCAGAGGGCAGTACGCACCATTGTTTTCATCCATTTAGTTCAGGTCATGTTCATACAAGTTGCACAAAGCCTCGATAAAGCAAATCAAGCAAGACCAATGCATTTTGTACAGCTTTGTATTGAGCACTGTAATAGGTATCTACACCATTGTGTGTGAGATGAGATTATAGAGCTATCCCCAACATATACAGATCCATTAGCCCATATTTATGAGACCAGGAAAACGAAATTAGGGCTCAATTAATGTCCAGTACAAAATATCAAGCAAAATACTTATTGCTTCACACTTTTTTTCGGTAGTTTCCCGGGTACGTAATCTAATCTTCAGTGACCTGGGTCCACACCTCTGCTTGTAACAGAGGAAGGGCAGAAAGGCCAATCTGTTTTCAGACTTCTGCAGCACTGCCTGACATTACCCCACATGAAGGGAGCTATATAAGTGCAAGTTGCTGTTGTCGAGACTCCCTTTGGCCTGCTACTCACAGGTCCAAGCACCTTGGGATGTCCTCCGGAGGGGAAAGGTACTATACAAATGTAAATTCGTATGCACTGTACCACCTCCACAGGCAAAAATAAAATGCTCCCTGCACTTACTGTGCCTTCGCTCAGAGTTTGCGTTCGAATTGGTCCTCATTTTAGCCTTCGAGACAAGGTTAGGAACATGTAAGCCACTCAATAAAGGCTGCTTACAAAAAGGCTAGGAATGTGCTTAGGCAAAAGCTTTCCTGAAGACCCATGTGGTAAATGGAGTGCAGTGTGGACCCTGAGCCATGATCTGGAGGGTCTCAGGTTTGATACTCAATAATAATAATAATCCTTCAACATCCACCTGAACAGGCAGACGAACCTCGGTTTAACATCTCATCCGAAAGACTGATTTGTAAATTTGTGTGAACCTGTGCTGACTAAACTAACCTCAGGAATGGGAGCAGGGCCAGAGAGAAAATCAGCTCTAATTCCTACTCCCAATTGCTCTTCAGTGATCCCTGGTGGAAAGTGCATGTACCTCTGAACAGGATGGATTTTCAGTTTGATTCTTTTTGTCCCCTCCTTTCTCCTCCCTCTCTAACAACCACGGCATAACCAGCTGACACCGAAGCTCAAAATAATGGAAGATAGTTCCTTGAGGGTGTTTCAGAGAGTGGCTGGCACCTGTGCAACCATTGAGTCAGCAGCTTCGGGGGAAAGGAAAGAAATGTGTGCTAGCAAGCTGAACATGTTGACGAGAAGGAACAATAAATTGCAGAAAATAATCTATCTGTGGCACCACCCACTTAATTCACAAACAACACTACCCACTATTCATAAGCACATGGGAGTCCTGTAATGTACTGGTGCTCACAAGCACTCGCCTCACAAGCGAGAGGACCCGGGTTCGATTCCTGGTCAGGGTGAAACCTTGAGTTTCCTTACTCCACACATCTCTGTTTACGTAGCAGTAAGTAGGAACCTGGTCTCCAGTTGATTGGCAGATAACTTTCTGGGGGTAATAATCCCTTCAAATTTTTTTAAAAAAGTAATATTAGTTTAGTCACTCAGTCCACAACTGTTGTGTGCGATTGGCTATCAAGTTTCACCCACAAAATATAGTCAATTCACTTTACAGTATATTCTCTGAAGCACTTTGAGACGTCTCAAGGATTATTATTACCAACTATGTTGAATTCGGGAGCCTGTCATTGCCCTTTTTCCCCTGCAATTCATTGCTTTTTGCCTTGTGCCCTTCATTACACACACACACACACACACCTGCACTGCGTCAGCTGGAAGTGAGTTTCTGACTGGCAAGAAGCTAAAGGTGAGATTCTGGGAAGTTGTTACTGAGGTAAATGAAACCCAAGCAGCAATGACTGACTCCACTTACAAACATTACAGTCTCTGCTCCTGGGCGTCAATTCTAGTCCACCCCACCTCCAGGCTGCGGTCTGAAGTCACACACTATCCCTTTGCCTTCTTGCCTCACTCATTTTTTTCCTCCAAGGCCTCACTGACACTTTGCTCTAATTGGCTATGATCCACCATCCTCCAGTTGTCAAACGCGAGCAACTTGATTTAATACCGACGTGCGAAGGATGCAGTGTGGATAACCCGACCACACTTTCTCGAGGAGAAAGGGTACTACAGCTGAAGACAAAGCTCTGGGATTTTTGCATGTGGCAGCAACAAGGGGAAAGGTATCCACGGTAACTGGATACTACCAACTACCCACCTGTCCCACTACCAACCTAGTCAACATATGGGCAACCCAGACTGTCTGAAGAGAGGACAAGTTGGTACATTGTGGGGACTTCGAAATAGATCTGTTTGGACACGGTGGAACTTGGCGCGGACTGTGGTGATGTGCAGGCAGAGTTTGGTGGAGGTGGTGGAGCTTTGAACCAGCTGAGTCTGTAAACTATATTTTTTCCAACTTTGAATTATTATTGCTTATTGTAATACAAAGAAGCTTTATGTTCATGCACCGATTTATTCACCATGTCATCAAAACTCCAGAATGTCGCAAGACACGGCTTATCATAGCTTATCTGTACAATGGCAATCAACAGACGTCTTAATGTTTGGGTGAAAGAAAACAAGCCATAAACACTGATTAATGCAGCTTCGGGTGAATTCCCTCTCTTTCTCTCTGAGTTTCCCCCCTCCACCACCGCCCCACACACACACTGTACACACACACACACACACCACTGTACACACGCAACGACTGGGCCTGAAGGCAGCCCACAGCTGCTGTTGGATTTTCCGCCCGTGACATTTCAGTGCAGGTTCAGTTACTGACTTAGCTCAGTGTTTAAAGTCGTGATCTAACTATAAAAGCTGAGTTAAAC